CCCCCCAACCATAATATTATTTTCATTGCTACTTCATAACTGTAATTTTGCTACTGTTATGATTCATAATGTAAATATCAGATATGCAGGAAGTATTTTCATTCACTGGACCAAATTTGGCATAAATACCCGATATGCCCAAATTTGAATACTGGTGGGATTGATTTTGTCATTTAGGAGTTGTAGTTGCTGGGATTTATTGTTCACCTACACTCAAAAAGCATTCTGAACTCCACCAACGATGGAATTGAACCAAACTTGACACTCAGAACTCCCATTACCAACAGAAAATACTGGAAAGGTTTGGTGGGCATTGACCTTGAGTTTTGGAGTTGTAGTTCACCTACATCCAGATAGCATTGTGGACTCAAACGATGATAGAGGTGGACCAAACTTGGCACAGATGCTCAATGTGCCCAAATGTGAACACTGGTGGAGTTTGGGGAAAATAGACCTTGACATCTGGGAGTTGTAGTTGCTGGGATTGATAGTTCACCTATAATCAAAGCATTCTGAACCTTAGGAATGATAGAATTGGGCCAAACTTCCCATACAGAACCCCCATGACCAACAGAAAATACTGTGTTTCCTGATGGCCTTTGGCGACCCCTCTGACACCACCTTGCGACCCCTCCTGGGGTCCTGACCCCCAGGTTGAGAAAGACTGGTCTAGAAGTTTGGTCTTCTTTTTTTTTTTTTTTTAAATACTTTTTATTGAAGGATAACATACATTTTATAGATAAAAAAAAGTTAAGGTATAGGAAAAGTTGGAAGAAATTGCAGTAGTGGGGGGATAAAGAGAAGGGCGGGGAATAAAAGTGGAAAGTTGGGAGTGGGGTTGGGGATAGAAAATTGTCTTCCAGTCCAGCAAGCCCACAGCATCATCAATCTTCATTTTCATTTTTTAAATGTCCTTTATTCAGGGCATTTTGTCTTCAGCTCTCGCAGAATTTTTTTTAGGAGGGACCAATCCGTTTTATATATCTCTGATCTTTAAGGTGGGAAGTTAATATGTCCATATGATCTCTTACTTTGGATATCCAATTCTCTAATGAGGGGATGTCTTTTGAGCGCCATTTCTGTGCTAAAAGAGTTCTCACATCTGACGTTAAATAAAGGAAAAAAAATCTCTATTACTGTCAAATTTCAGATTTGTTAAATTTAGAAGGCAATATTCTGGTTCCATATTAAACTTTAATTTTAATATTTTTTTGGGTGTAATTGTGTATTTTTCCCAATATTTTTTAACTTCCTTGCAGAACCACCACGAGTGAAAAAATTATCCTATTTCATCTCCGCATTTCCAGCATTTATTGTTTTGATTTCTGTAATATCTTGCTAGTTTCTCTGGGGTTAGGTGCCACCGGAAAAACATTTTGTACCAATTTTCAATAATTTTTAAAGACATGGAGAATTTCAATTTCGTTTTCCATATTCTTTCCCAGTCTTCTAGTAAGATGGGGTGGCCAATGTCCTTGGCCCATTTAATCATATTCTCCTTTATCAGTTCGGTTTCCGTGTTCCATTCCAGAATTTTTTGGTATATTGTCCTTGTTGTTTTTTTCTCCTTCTTCATAATTACATCCCATATAGAATCTTGTACGTTAAAGTCGCTCTTCTTATCTTCTTTATACGAATCTATTATTTGTCTGTATTGGTACCATGTTAAGTTGTGGCCCTCTTGCCTTATCTCTTCCAAAGATTTTAAGGACCAAGAGTTGTTCTGTCTTCTCAATAGATGTTTGTAGGAGAGCCAATTTCTGAAGGGATCTCTCTTTTGTGGTGTGCCTCCACAGGGGAAAGCCAGAGAGGAGTTGTATTGTACAGTCTTCCTTTATATTTCTCCCATACTTTTAGAATGGTGGCCCTAATAAAACGGGGAGTAATTTTTTTCCCTACCTTTGCTTTGTTGTACCATAAGTATGCGTGCCACCATCTACACAGGTCGTATCCTTCCAGAATCAGTATCTTTTTTTGATAACTGGTCTAGAAGTTTGGTTTTCATCTTAAAGGAAAGTGCAAGATTTTCAGTAGAATCATAGAGTTGGAAGAGACCTCATGGGCCATCCAGTCCATTCCCTTGCCAAGAAGCAGGAAAATTGTATTCAAAGCACCCCCGACAGATGGCCAGATGACAGTATGTTACATTCTGTACAGAGGAATATATTTAAACTGGAAGGTGCTTGCAAAATTGGCCACAGCAACGATTGCATGTAAGAGACAGCCATCCCCATATTGAATGGTTGACAAAATCAGTTTACTGGACACTTGTTATCCACTGGGTTTGGTTCCAGGACTTGTGCAAAACTTGTGAATATGGAAGACTTACAGTTTGTGTGTGCGTGTTTTAACAAACTTTGTTCTCAGCAAAACCACTCAGTGTTAATTGAAACTGCAAATATTATGCATGACACAAAAATGTCCCTGAAATATATACAGTAGTAATCAGATTCTTTTTTTAAAAAAAACATACCCTCAAAGATTAAAAGTTCCACGATAAAGCAAATAATAGGCTACAATGAGGTAATTTGTGTACAGAAATATCTATGTGCATATTATGCCACCTACTCATGCGAGAGGCAGCTGTGGATGCAAGACTGTCTCGTGCTACAGCCGGCTCTATTTGCTTAGGTAATTGTGTTGGCACCAGTACACTCACAGCTGTTTTGGTACCATGAAGGGCAAGACAAGCTAAAACTGCCAAGTATTCTAATTTGCATTATTAAAGACATGTTAGTGTTGCCTTTCTACATCTAGACACTCAAAAAAGTTCAATAATAAAAAGAACAGAGTAGGAAAGAGATGCCTAAATTGTGGAGTCATCCAGTACAGCAGGGTGGAGTTAGAAACCAAATCAAATGTATATTATGGTTGTTGTTGTTGTAGTGTACACCTTCATATGCCTTTGGCTGATGTAAATGTTGGCATTCTCTTGCTCTTTCTGCAGCTTAGGCCCCTTCTACACTGCCATATATTGTGTGCTTTGAACTGGATTAAATGGCAGTGTAGTCTCCTATAATCCAGTTCAAAGCAGATAACGCAGATTTTCTGCATTGATAATCTGGATTATATTGCAGTGTAGAAGGAGCCAGTGTCTATTCCAGGATTCTCGATTTAGCTGCTGCAACCTCATGGCCATTCAGTGACTGGTGGAGTGGGTGGAATTGGAAAAGAACCTGGCCATGGCCTAACTTTTCTTACAATCGGCCATGATGGATTTTGGCTAATGCCGTGACCCCTCAATACAGTTCCTCACGTTGTGGTGACCCCCAACTATAACATTATTTTCGTTGCTACTTCATAACTGTAATTTTCCTACTGTTACGAACTGTAATGTAAATATCTGATATGTAGGTTATATTTTCATTCACTGGGCCAAATTTGGCACAAATAATAGATACACCCAAATTTGAATACTGGTTCGGAGGGTGGAGGTGGTGGATTGGTGTTGTCATCTGGGAGTTGTAGTTGCTGGGATTTATAGTTTACCTACCATCAGAGCATTCTGAACTCAACCAATGATGGAATTGAACCAATCTTGGCACACAGAACTCCCATGACCAAGAGAAAACACTGGAAGGGTTTGGTGGGCATTGACCTTGAGTTTTGGAATTGTAGTTCACATACATCTAGAGAGCACTGTGGACTTAAACAATGATGGATCTGGAACAATAACGAATACTCAATATACCCAAATGTGAACACTGGTGGAGTTTGAGGGAAATAAACCTTGACATTTGGGAGTTGTAGTTACTGGGATTTATAGTTATTTTCATTGCTACTTTGTAACTGTAATTTTGCTACTGTTATGAATCATAATGTAAATATCAGATATGCAGTATGTATTTTTATTTACTGGACCAAATTTGGTACAAATACCCAATACACCCAAATTTGAATACAGGTGAGGTTGGGGGAATGATTTTGTCATTTGGGAGTTGTAGTTGCTGGGATTTAGTTCACCTACAATCAAAGACCATTCTGCACTCCACCAATTATAGAATTGAGCCAAACTTCCCATGCAGAATCCCATGAGCAATAGAAAATACTGTGTTTCCTGATGGTCTTTGGCAACCCCTGACACCCTGTCACAACCCCCCCCCCAGGGGTCCTGACCCCCCAGGTTGAGAAACACTGGGCTAGAGGATGTGTACTTTTTTTTGTCGTGTTAGGAGGGACTTGAGAGTCTGCAAGTTACTTCTGGTGTGAGAGAATTGGCCGTCTGCAAGGACGTTGCCCAGGGGACGCCCAGATGATTTGGTGTTTTTATCATCCTTGTGGGAGGCTTCTCTCATGTCCCCGCATGAGGAGCTGGAACTGATAGAGGGAGCTCATCCGCCTCTCCCCGGATTTGAACCTGCGACCTGGGGCTCCGCAATGTGTACTGTGCCGTCTATACATAAGACACCAATTGCTCTAACATTATGGATCCTGCTTGGTATAGCCCAATCCAGTTGCATAGGAAATGGATGGCTTCCAGTCCTCTGGTAACACTCTTGTATATTTCAACCTCCCCAACCCTCCAGTAGCAAATGCTGTATTAGGTATTCACATTTTGGGGCCATTTTGGTCTTCCTCGGCTCTGTCCCATTCAGTCATAGGTGGATTTTGATTTTTGCTCTCACTGGAGTATGACAGAATGCGAGGAGGTAACATTGCCTGAAATGTGGGGACAGAACATCCATTCTCCATCAGATACTCTGACAAAGATTTTCACAATACAGCAGCTTTTCACATACAGGACTAGAAAACTCCATGGCTTATGTTGTTTGTACCAGCAGAACACTTAATCCTCACTGTCGCTAACAACTAGGGTTTGCCAGTCTTGGAGAGCAGCAATATGTCCAGTAATAAAAACAAGCATCAGTTCAGCACAGTTCATAGTCAGGGCAATTGTTTGGACCCCACGAGTGTGGGTGGGGTGGCACCACTGCATCCGCTTTTGATGACTCCAACCTGTTTGTACAATCTGAGCTTATGACACAAATGCCGGCAGAGAGTTTTCATGTTATAAACCTTTATTTATAGATGTACAATTGTATAATTGATTCTAAATTAAAAAATACAGCCTTTGCGGATTATCGTTCAGGATCTATGCTTCTTTATTGCACTTTGCTCATTCCATCCATGGCTATCTCTACGTAAGAAATCAAAAGGGCTGGACAGGGAGGCACTGGGGCAGCCAATGCCGTTTTTCAAGATGTCGGAAATTTCATGCTGAACTGTTGAATGGGTGACCCTCTGGAAACAAGAGCTGGGATGGCTGCAGGTCAGATGTTGGGGCTTTAGACAACATCACAGTCCATTACCTGTCATCACAGGGCAATGCGAAGCAGGTAGATCTTCTTAAAGCTATACACTGAATGAATTTCCCCTTCAAATGTGGGTAACACCACAAGTAGTGATTAAATTCATGCGGTGTAACTTGCATTTAATTAGCATACAGTTTGTCAACGCTAAAGGAAGTACAGGATTAAAAGGTTATTGTCATATGTTCCATAGTTGATGGTAGTTGGTAGTGGTAGACCTGGCGTTTGGTGATGGAAGGGTTAATGTAAGTCTTGGTTCTAAAGGACTGAGTAGTTTGTAAGTAACAGTTTACAGATAAAAGCAATTAAGGGTGGAGGTATGCAGGGGATAGGTTGCAGTTGGGTGTTACTGGATTTAAGGAGCTAACCTTGGGACTGATTATTGGGAGAAAATTATTATGTCATGTTGCCAGGGCTCTGCCTTATTTAGGTAGAGATGAACCAAACTCCCAGTTTTATCAAACAGTTTAATTAAAACAGCACTTACTTGCTGGCTGATTTAGTAGACCAAAATATAAAATATAAAGATAGCATTCAGCCACAGAATAAACAAAAACTGATAGCAAAAGCTACACCGTAGTCAAAGGGTCCTGTTGTAATACAGTGTGATAGTAACGTTCCTACTACCAGTAGAAGGGAGATAATAAACCTGTGTTTGGATCTTTTATATTGTGTTTGGCGTTCTTGAGGCTTCTGGGTCTTGACAGGTCCAGTCCAGTGGTCAAACGCCAAGAGTTCAATAAACAAAGTCCAGGGATCAAGAGTCTATACCGTAGTCAAAAGATTCAAGATTCCAAGATAACAGGAGACAGGTCAGGATACCAAAAATCCAACAGACCTGGGGGAAAAACAGCAGCATCCACCACCAAAATATGACAATTTTAATTGCTTTTACCTGTAAACTGTTACTTACAAACTACTCAGCCCTTTAGAACCAAGACTTACATTAACCCTTCCATCACCAACTGCCAGGTCTACCAACAACAACAACCATCAACTATGGAACATAGGACAGTTATCCCCTGTATACATAGGAATTGCTTAGGAAAGTTCATTTTTGGGAATGAAGTCTCAGAAACCATGCTCTAGCTCCAAAAATGGAACCTTCTGAAGCACTGCTCCTGACATGTATTTTGGTATCTCCCTTTAGTCCAGTGGTTCTCAACCTGTGGGTCCCCAGGTGTTTTGACCTACAACTCTCAGAAATCCCAGCCAGTTTACCAGCTGTTAGGATTTCTGGGAGTTGAAGGCCAAAAGATCTGGAGACCCACAAGTTGAGAACCACCACTACCTCCAGAAAGAAGTATAAAATTCTTTATTGTAAATATATCTGGATGAAATTTAATACAGAAATACAGAAAAAAATATTCAGTCTGTGTGGTCAAGGGAAATCTCTTAACGGAACACATTTGCCCATTCAAAACCCCCATTTTGTTCCAAAGTAGGGCAAGATCCATGCATGCCTCTGTTGACATGAACTCAGGATCCCTTGCAAGGACAGGAACAATCCTTGTGGATTATGGCCAAACTCGGAACAATTGGGTTTATCATAACTGGGAGCATTCACCTCTCTACACTCAGGGTTATGGCTCAGTTGCATGAAATAACGTATCTTAAGGCTGTTCTGATAGCACTGTATCAGCTTTATTTTAAAAGACAAAACAAAAAATGAGATGAGCATTACGAAGAAAAGGGGCAGGGAAGAGGGACAACCCAGTCCAGGTATGGTAGTATTGTCCCACTTTGGATTTACCGAAAGCCATGTAGTCACTACAGCAAACCCTCTTTTGACAGAAAGTCTTTTTTTTGAAGAAGCTGACAGAGGACTTGTAAACAACCATTGTTGTTGTGTGCTCTTTCCTGCAAAAGGATATGGAGCAGCTCTTCATAGGCCAACAGACACCAGATTTCTGGAATGAAGTCAGCGGGAGCAGTATGTTAAGCAGAGGGCGCTTTGCTGACTACAGCTTTGTAGCGCTGCGAGATGGAAGAAATCGGGGAGGGAGGACCAAGCGACCAAGAGGACACAGCTTGTGGAAAGCTCTGTGTACCAGAGCTAACACTGATTGGCAAGGCAGATACGTTGGGCCACCAAAACATTAAAAAACAAAACAAAACAAAGAAGCTCCACACAAACACCCAAGCAACCCTGATGAACTTCAAAAGATTTGGGACAACTTCCCCTTCTTCCTCTCTAAAGGAATAAGAACTCAGCTGAGATGCCATCAATTTAGACCCCAGACCCAAAATCAGGTCCAAATGTGGATGTAGAAATGTTTTGCAAAATTTGACTGATTTCTCTGATACAAAACAGGGAATAATGGCAGGTCAAATTGTACACATTTTTTTTTCTTCTCCAGCAAAGGAAAAGCCGTTAAAAAATACAAAAAAATGTTTTTCGTGTCATTAGACAAGGCTGCCTTATGTAGGAAAGGTATCACAAGGCTGGTTTGCAGGGCGTGGAGGGGAGAAGAGGACAAATTCACACATCCTGGGTTAAGAAGTTCAGCATAAATTGAAATAATTTAATTCTATCCCTGCATAGTTTAGAAGTACAACATATTTACAGCTAATAAGTTAATTCTAAATAATTTCTTTTTGCTTTTTTTTTTAAAAAAAATTGATTTTGTTTTGCTCCTACAGATCTTCCAATTTCACTCTCTCTCATTGAAGTGACCAGTGCAATCGCAGAAGGCTCTCTTCTTCTGTTCCCAGGTTTTTCAGCAGGCCTTAAAAGAAAAATAACAACTCAACACTGGCTCTCAGGATAGCGGCATCCCGAGAAAGAGACATTTGACAGCGAAGGAAGGGGGAAGAAAGACATAGAGGTCTTTTTCTTCTGTTCTAAGAGACATTCGAGTCTAATGCTGGACAGAGAGAGAGAGAGAGAGAGGAGAGGGCAGTTGTGCGTTGCTAATTCTCCCATTTTAATTTAAGGTCTGATTCTTTAAATAGAAAATCTGTCTCCTTGGCTCAGTGCACTTCCCCAAAGTCTTCAGGCATTTGAAGAGTCTGAGAATAAAAGCAGTAATAGTGTCAGACTATAGTGCATTAAGAGGATAACAAAACCACAGAGGACATATTTCCATCACCTCCCTTTCCCTGCAATGAGCAATAGGTGTATTTCACTAGTATAGCTGAAAATGCTCATGGGCATCCTTAAAGTTACTATATATCAGGTGTCCCCAAACTAAGGCCCGCGGGCCACTTCCGGCCCGCCAAGGGCACTTATCCAGCCCGCGGAGGAGGAGCGCCCCCCCCCCACAGTGCCCCTTCCTTGGTGCTCCTCCCTTGGAAGGCTCACGCTGCCCATCTGCCCGATGGGCAGCGTGAGCCAGCAAAGGGCAGCTGCTTGGAGCGGTCTACTCTTGTGTAAAGCACCTCGCGAGGTGCTTTACGCAAGAGTAGGCCACGCACGCGATGCTGCTCCTCCTTTGGAAGGCTCACACTGCCCATGGCCCGTGGGCCACTTCCAGCCCGCCAAGGGCACTTATCCGGCCCGCGGAGGAGGAGCGCCCCCTCCCCACACAGTGCCCCTCCCTTGGCTGGCTCACGCTATCTGTCAGGCCCGATGGGCAGCGTGAGCCAGCCAAGGGAGGCTGCCCCGGCGCTCCAAGCAGTCATGCCGGCCACATGACCTTGGAGGTGTCTACGGACAACGCTGGCTCTTCGTCTTAGAAATGCAGATGAGCACCACACCCCAGAGTCGGGCACGACTGGACTTTATGTTAGAGGAAAACCTTTAACTAGGATAATTGTGGAAGATCCAGGAGAAAGAACTCTTGTGGGAGAAAGAACTCTTGTCTTTTGGAGGTAGGTCTGAATGTTTCAATTGGCCACCTTGATTACCATTTCATGGCCTGATAGTTTTTAGGGAGAATCTTTTCTTGAGAGGTGATTAGCTGGCCCTGATTGTTTCTTGTCTGGAGTTCCCCTGTGTTTGAGTGTTGTTCTTTATTTACAGTTATAATTTTAGACTTTGTTCAGACTAGAAATAGGAAGATTTCCCATTCTCTGCTCCTGGAATTACTGCCTAAAGAGGGCTAGAAACAACCCCCTCTAAGGGCCCTTTCACACAGCAAAATAAGATATGTGCAATGTGCATAGGCATTTTTTAATTGATTTTTTTTTAAAAAACTATAGTCCGGCCCTCCAACGGTCCGAGGGACAGTGAACTGGCCCCCGGTTTAAAAAGTTTGAGGACCCCTGCTATATATACTCGAGTATAAGCAGACTTTTTCAGCCCCTTTTTATACTTGAGTCCATACATTTTCCAGACTGCCCTGAGTCGCCTGAGGGCTGAGAAGAGTGGCATACAAATATAGTAAATAAATACTCGAGTCAAGATTATTTATTATTTCACTTCGTTGTTGTGGTTGTTGTTATTATTTTACTCTATTTATTATTATTATTACATTTACATTATTTTATTCTATTATTTTTAATACATTTATTATTTAACTCTATATATTATTATTTTTATTACATTTATTATTTTACTATATTAGTATTACATTTATTATTTTACTCTATTATTACTGGAAAGATACGTAAGCACATTTACATTGAAGAAGATTAGAATAATGGTTTAATCCGAGTTGGACAGTCTTATCTTAATTTACAGTTTTATGTAAATAGTCAAAAACATTTACTGTATATACTCGAGTATAAGCCTAGTTTTTCAGACCTTTTTTTGGGGCTGAAAAAGTCCCTCTCGGCTTATACTCGAGTCAAGGACTGTGTGATGTATCAGCGAATAATGCATGCAGATCCCAGTAAGGTGGCCTTCTGCAACTGGCAGATGGTAATTTTGTCAGCGCCGATTGTGTTTAAGTGCAAGCCAAGGTCTTTAGGCACTGCACCCAGTGTGCCGATCACCACTGGGACCACCTTGACTGGCTTCTGCCAGAGTCTTTGCAGTTCGATCTTTAAATTGTCATATCGTGTCAGCTTTTCCTATTGTTGTTGTTATTATTATTATTATTATTATTATTATTATTATTATTATTATATTGCCTTCTGATGTTGTGAGATGCTTTATCAAGGGGAACACAGCATACAAATGAATATGACGATGAAGGATGATAATAATATCAGGAGATGCACAATAATAACTGAAGAAACTATATGTGTGACAGAACCATTGGCCTAGTTGTGCGATTCCAGAAGTACAGCTGCTTTTAAGTAGTATTAGAAGTGAAGGTAAAATGGGAATAAATAATGCTTTTTTGGCATCAGATAATACCATTGCTCAGCTTTTATGCCATTTGTATAACATGTAGTCTGAGTTTCAAACTAGGAAAGGTAGAAGCCAACATACTTTTCTAGGCCTAAAGACAGAAATGACTGATATTTCCACACAATCCTTTTCCCTGAACTTTGCACTTCTGATGTTATCTCAGTTGGCTTTGTATATCTCTTGTCCAAGGCTAAGCAATCTGTAGTCTTCCAGCTTTTGGTCGACTACAACTCCCATCAGTCTAAAGCAGTGGTTCTCAATCTATGGGTCCCCAGGTGTTTTGACCTACAACTCCCAGAAATCCCAGCCAGTTTACCAACTGTTAGGATTTCTGGGAGTTGAAGGCCAAAACATCTGGGGACGCACAGATTGAGAACCAAGGCATTATGGAAGCTGTGGTTCAAAAACAACTGGAAGGTCACAGTTCCCCCAACCTTGCTTTAATCGAATTTTGTCAAACATAAATCTTTTTAATTCTGTACAAACATATAGAGACTATATAAATAGACCAAGTTGTTTGCACAAAACAGCTCCCAATACAATTCTGATGATTTCATCATGCCATTGCGCAACTCATCTTTATTTTTTCTTCTGGCAGTTTCCAATGGCGTGATGAAAATCCTGCCAACTCCTCAAGTAAAGTATTTCCTAATCTCTTATTTTGAATTACCAGGAAACACAGTGAACAAGTGAAGTGTTCCAGCTGGCCTGAATGCCTTCATATATCATAGAATGTAGATATGGACTCTGTCGGAAAATAAGCACCACGTGGTACCACGTGACCACAGAAAAAGAAACTTCTTGCACTTACTCAAATCTCTAGGAACTGTTTCAGTGACAGCTATCCATGCATCGATGCTTGAACTTCAGAAAGTCTGCTGCAACTTGGGGTGCCCATCTTTTGCGCTCGCTGATAGAGATCAGAGTCCCCAAAGTAACGTGCCCGGTAGAGTAGCCCTTCCTCTGAAAAAGAAAGCCAAATATTTGGCACCATTGTAGTAGTAGTAGTAATAATAATGATAATAATAATAATAATAATAATAATAATAACTGTGAGTTTTCGAATCCAGACTGACAAAGTTTTGGAACACAATACACCAGACATCACGATTGTGGAAAAGAAAAAAGTTTGGATTATTGATGTTGCCATACCAGGTGACAGTCGCATTGAGGAAAAACAACAGGAAAAACTCAGCCGTTATCAAGACCTCAAAATCGAACTGCAAAGGCTCTAGCACAGTGGTTTTCAACCTTCCTAATGCCGCGACCCCTTAATACAGTTCCTCATGTTGTGGTGACCCCCAACCATAACCCTAACATTATGAATTGCCATGTAAATAATGATCTGCAGGATGTACTTTCATTCTCTGGAGCAAATTTGGCACAAATACCTGGTATGCCCAAATTTGACAAAATCAATCCCCCCGCCAACCCCCCCAGTATTCAAATTTGGGCACACCAGGTATTTGTGCCAAATTTGAATACTGGTGGGGTTGGCGGGGGGATTGATTTTGTCATTTGGGAGTTGTAGTTGCTGGGATTTACAGTTAACCTGCAAACAAAGAGCATTCCGAACCCCACCAACAATGGAAAGTTGGCACACAGAACTCCCATGACCAAGAAAATACTGGAAGGGTTTGGTGGGCATTGTCCTTGAGTTTGGGAGTCGTAGTTCGCCTACATCCAGAGAGCACTGTGGGCTCAAACAATGATGGATCTGGACCAAAGTTGGCACGGATACTCAATATGCCCAAATGTGAAAACTGATGGGGTTCGTGGAAAATATACTTTGACATTTGGGAGTTGTACTTGCTGGGATTTATAGTTCGCCTACAATTGAGGAGCGTTCTGAACCCCACCAATGATAGAATTGGGCCAAAGTTCCCACACAGAACTTCCATGACCAACAGAAAATATTATGTTTTCTGATGGTCTTTGTCCTCGTGGACAACAAGTTAAACATGAGCCAACAATGTGATGTGGCGGCAAAAAAAGCCAATGGGATTTTGGCCTGTATCAGTAGGAGCATAGTGTCTAGATCTAGAGAAGTAATGCTACCCCTCTATTCTGCTTTGGTTAGACCACACCTGGAATATTGTGTCCAATTCTGGGCACCACAATTCAAGAGAGATATTGACAAGCTGGAATGTGTCCAAAGGAGGGCGACTAAAATGATCAAGGGTCTGGAGAACAAGCCCTATGAGGAGCGGCTTAAGGAGCTGGGCATGTTTAGCCTGAAGAAGAGAAGGCTGAGAGGAGATATGATAGCCATGTATAAATATGTGAGAGGAAGCCACAGGGAGGAGGGAGCAAGCTTGTTTAGTGGAGATTAGGACAAGGAACAATGGCTTCAAACTACAAGAAAGGAGATTCCATCTGAACATGAGGAAGAGCTTCCTGACTGTGAGAGCCGTTCAGCAGTGGAACTCTCTGCCCCAGAGTGTGGTGGAGGCTCCTTCTTTGGAAGCTTTTAAACAGAGGCTGGATGGCCATCTGTCAGGGGTGATTTGAATGCAATATTCCTGCTTCTTGACAGGGGGTTGGACTGGATGGCCCATGAGGTCTCTTCCAACTCTTTGATTCTATGTTCTATTCTATGATTCTGTGACCACTCTGACACACCTTCGCGACCCCCTCCCAGGGGTCCCGACCCCCAGGTTGAGGAACACTGCTCTAGTATAAACCAGTGCAGGTGGTCCAAGTGGTCATCGGCACACTGGGTGCCGTGCCAAAAGATCTCAGCCGGCAATTGGAAACAATAAACATTGACAAAATCACAATCTGTCAACTGCAAAAGGCCACCTTACTTGGATCTGCCCGTATCATTCGAAAATACATCACACAGTCCTAGACGCTTGGGAAGTATTTGATTTGTGATTTTGTGATACGAAATCCAGCATATAGATCTCGTTTGCTGTGACATACTGTGTTTTTGGGTCAGTAAAATAATAATAATAATAATAATAATAATAATAATAATAATAATAATAATAATAATTTATAACCTGCCCTCTGGGCAGTTCAAAAGGCTTGTCAAGTGCCACTATTCTCTTAGGACTGCAAAATTCTCATTGCCAATTTCACTGGAGAAAGGATAAGCTTCCCAGTTTCTTTGGGAAAGATTTCTCACCTCTCCCTTTTGGTCTGGTATGTCATTTCAGGCAGAAGGCCAACACAAATGTTTATCAACTGCTCAGCCTTGCTTCAGACATTTGCAATTATAGTTTATCTTAGAAATAATTTGCAAAGTAGGTTATACTGAGGTGGACAACCCGGTCATCACTAAACCGCTGAATGTACTTGCAGTCAAACATGTCTCCAAGTCTTAAAGGACTACGTTAGCCAATCTATTGTGTTCAGCCACGGACCATGACAACTGAGTTTGCATTTACCTGCAAGGTCTAAAAATAATGGACAAGGTCCTTGGCCGAATCAGATTCTCAAATGCATCAAGGCTAAGCTTATCTTTGGACAACAACATCCCAACACCTTTGTCAAGCACGGTTAGCATTTGCAAAGCTCTAAAACCCAAAGGACAATAATAAGTCAAGTTGGAGAGATAGCTTCTACTAACAGGGGCGGGAAAACCTGCAAATCCGATTTGGACCCGAAAGCAATTTAATCTGACTCTTTACAACCCCACCAATTATATATTATTTATTTATTATTTAAAAGTTTTGTATACTGGCCTTCTCACCTCTCTTGAGGGACTCAGACCGGTTTCCAACCATAATATCACATACAATCAATAAAACATCATAATACATATTACAGTAAAACATTAAAACAGCAATTACAATCAATAACTATAATGGTCAGTCGTCACACTAAAATCGTTGCGCATCATCCTCCATCCATATCTCAGGGTGTTGGCTCACTCATCGAATGCCTGTCTCCATAACCAAGTCTTCACCTGTTTCCTAAATGTCAGGATAGATGGGGTGGTTCTGATCTCCAGAGGGAGAGAGTTCCAGAGTCGAGGGGCCACCACTGAGAAGGCCCTGTCCCTCGTCCCCACCAGACGCGCTTGCGAGGCCGGTGGGACCGAGAGCAGGGCCTCTCCAGACGATCTTAATAATCTTGATGGTTCTTAAACTATATCCACTTTGATGGGTCAAAAAAATGTTAACGGAAAGAGTCTAAACAGGAATGCTGCCTTTACTATTATCTATTATTTTTATAAAGGTTAAACCCCTGTGCCGGCAGGACTTAAGACAGGTTGCAGGTTCAAATCCGGGGAGAGCGCAGATGAGCTCCCTCTGTCAGCTCCAGCTCCCCATGCGGGGACATGAGAGAAGCCTCCCACAAGGACGGTAAAACATTAAAAAAATCCAAGCGTCCCCTGGGCAACATCCTTGCAGACGGCCAATTGTCTCACACCAGAAGCGATTTGTAGTTTCTCAAGTCACTCCTGACACGACAAAAACACAAAAACAAAACAAAACAAAAAAACAAGTAAAGGTTTTCCCTTGACATTATGTCTAGTCGTGTCCGACTCTGGGGGGTGGTGCTCATCTCCATTTCTAGGCCAAAGAGCCAGTCTTGGCAGGGGGTTGTCCGTAGACTCACATTTCCATGTTTTCAAACTGCTAGGTTGGCCTAAGCTGGGGCTACCAGTGGGAGCTCACCCAGATTCGAACCACCAATCTTTCCGTCAACAAGTTCAGCAGCTCAGCAGTTTAACTCACTGTGTTACCAGGGCATCCTTACTTTTTATAGCATTGAATTATTTCATTCCACAGAGAGGTTTGCTTATAGCTGTTCTTAAACTTCTGGGGTACTCACTTTGTTGTTTTTCCTTCCAACAGTTATTTCTGAGGTTTGCAATGTAATCGTCTTCAACACTCCTTTCCACGTTTTTCAGATTTGTGCCAGTATATTCTTCTGCAAAGCTGTCAGCTACATAATAAGCTACTTTCAAATGATCAGTCACTCTCTTGTATATATGACCGACAGATCTGGTGAAGAGGAAAAAAGAAAGGGATGATGAAATTCAGGATAAAAAAATAGGTCTTATCAATTAATAAGATGTAGAGCAGTGTTGCCAAAAGAAGAAGCACCCATAAAGCTCCGTAGCCTGGATGGTGGCCTATCAAGGGGGAAAATGATATTTTTTCACATTTATTTGAAGCTGCAAAACTGAAATGCTTATGAAGTATCTGGCTGGTCACACAATATGTGACTTCGGATCATAGTTCAGTTGGATGGGTCACACACTGTATTGGACAATGACAGGTTATCTGTAAGCAAGAGCAATGTAAACCTGCAAGGGAATGTTTAATTGATTGATTGATTGATTGATAATCCACCTTTCTCCTAATGCCCAAGGTGGCAAAACCTGATTTTGCAGATAAGAAACAACATTGAGGGCAGAAGGAACATTCCTGGCCACATAACATCAGAGAAATCCAGCAATTAAATTTTTGTAGTATATCTATATCTTCTATATCTATATAAATAAAAATGTAATGTTTGTTTGTGGGATCAACAGAACTCAAAAACTGCTGGACAAATTGACACCAAATTTGGCCACAAGACACCTACTAATCCAAGAGTGACCATCACTCAAAAATTGATTTTGTCATTTGGGAGTTGTAGTTGCTGGGATTTATAGTTCACCTACGACCAAAGAGTATTCTGAACTCCATTAATGATGGAATTGGACCAAACATGACACACAGGACTCCTATGGCCAACAGAAAACACTACAAGGGTTTGGTGGACATTGACCTTGAGTTTGGGAGTTGTAGTTCACCTACATCCAGAGAGCACTGTGGACTCAAACAAGGATGGATCTGGACCAAAATTGGCACAAATATTCCATATGCCCAAATATGTACACAGGTGGAGTTTGGGGGAAATAGACTTTGACATTTGGGAGTTGTAGTTACTGGGATTTATAGTTCACCTACAATCAAAGAGCATGCTGAACCCCACCAACTATGGAATTGGGGCAAACTTCCCACACAGAATCCCCATGACCAACAGAAAATACTTAAGGCCATCCAGTTCAACTCCCTTCACCAGGGCAAGAAAACATAATCAGGTACTGGAATTTATAGTTCATCTGCAATCAATGAGCACTCTGCACCCTACTAATGAAGGACCTGGACCAAACTTGGCATACAGAACCCTCATGACCAACTGAACGTCCTAGAGACATTTGATGGGACTGACCCGCCATGGTGAGAGTTGTAATTCATATTGCAGTCAGAGAACACACTGAACCTCACTAATGATCCATCTAGAGCAGTGGTTCTCAACCTGCGGGTCCCCGGGTGTTTTGGCCTACAACTCCCAGTTTACCAGTTGTTAGGATTTCTGGGAGTTAACGGCCAAAACATCCGCGAACCCACAGGTTGAGAATCACTGATCTAGAGCAAACTTGCCCAATATGATAAACTTCAAGCATTGATGGAGTTTCAGGGGGTTAACCTGGCCATGATGTGAGTTGTAGTGCACCCACCCACAACCTTATGCATCTTGTAAAATAAAAATAAAAATGACTTCTCTTAAGTACCCAGACAACACCAGGCACACAAGCTAGTTTTTAAATAAAGAAACCAACCAACAAACCTAGTAGTGCTTTGAGCAGTGAATTACAGACATAATTGAAAGAAGAGTACTACTATTCACATAATTCTAGAACCAGTGCATCTTTTGCTATTTCTTTCTGACAAGTTTTACTTCTCTTATGTCCTCCAGATGTTCAGCAGCAGATCATCAGCTCTGGGCTGCAAAATGAAACAAATCACTATAGAGGATACACCTTTGCTCTTTCCATTCATCCACAAGATGGGTTCAGAACAGATGGGTTTCATTAAGCCAGATTCATTTAATATGGCTAACAGATGGAAGAACAGGCTCTCCTCTCTCCTTCTCATGTCAGCCAACCCTGAAAGCAACTAGAAATTCTACTGCTAATTATAATTTGGAGATATTTTTATGAATCTGGAAAGTAAAAAAAAAGTTCTGTTCCTTCTCTAGGGAACAGGAAGGCACAGTAAGATTTATTGTTGGCAAGGGTACTTCTCTTGTCTGAAAAAAAATCCATAGGATCTCATCTTTCCAAATATAAAAAGGCCTAGATATAGGTGTTTGTTACGATTTCCTCCTGTTCTGAACATTAAGGCTTCATCATATTTTAAGCAGAAGCAAGAGACACCTAACTGAGAACACACGCATATGAGAAACTATGTCTGCTCACACTGAAATTCACACAAATAAGAGTTACTCTAGCAAACTAATCTGTTGACTGTCCACACAAGAGAGTTTGGAAGTTGCAAAGTACGACTCCAAGAATGCCAACACTAACAATTCTGGTCATGATGGCTGGGGAGATTATTGTGAATTGTAGTCCACCCCAAAAAGGACTCAGATGCCTTCCCACATATGTCACAAATGCAGTGAGATGAAAAGAACCAAACTCGCCCATCAGCCTTCATCAGAAGATTAGTTTAAAGGGGTAATAGAAAAAAAATACAATGCAATTTCATTTGCACTCGGAATAGAATGATGACCAATGTTGAGATACAGACATGCCTCATTTAACAAAGTCAATTAACAAGCTCCCCTACCCCTTTCCTTTAAAAAAAATCCTTTTATACTCCTTCTCCTGTTGGTCCTTTGACTATCTGGAACTTTTGCAGATGGTGAAAGAGACCATAGTGCTTTCGGTGTCTCCAGTAAACAATGCAGTAAAGCTTAAGATACAATCTTAAGAATGGCTACTGCAGTTGTGTGTGCCTGCTTGTAAAAGGCAAAGTAAACAGCAGCTGCCTCCAGAATCCCTTACTGAGCAAGCATGAACAGCAAAACAGAGAGAAAAGGGAAAAGAAGATGAACTCCTAGCACAGGGGTCCTCAAACTAAGGCCCAGGGGCCAAATACGGCCCTCCAAGGTCATTTCCCCGGCCCTCACTTAGGATCAACCTAATTTTGAAACGACTTGAAAGCACATAACAACAATAACAATGCTATCTCATCAGCCAAAAGCAGGCCCACACTTCCTATTGAAATACTAATAAGTTTATATTTGTTAAAATTGTTCTTCATTTTAATTATTGCATTGTTTTTAAGTGTTTTTTGCACTAATAATAATAATAATAATAATAATAATAATATTTATTTATACCCCGCCACCGTTTCCCCAAGGGGACTCGGGGTGGCTTACATGAGGCCAAGCCCAACAACACGTCAGTCCTTCACTCAATGTATGTCCTTCACTCAAGAAAATTGATTTTGTCATTTGGGAGTTGTAGTTGCTGGGATTTATAGTTCACCTACGATCAAAGAACATTCTGAACCCCACCAACGATGGAATTGAACCAAACTTGGCACACAGTTCTCTCATGACCAACAGAAAATACTGGAAGGGTTTGGTGGGCAGTGTCCTTTGGTTTTGGAGTTGTAGTTCACCTACATCCAAAGATCACTGGGGACTCAAACAATGATGGATCTGGACCAAACTCGGCACAAATACTTAATATGCCCAAATATGAAAACTGGGTGGATTTTGGGGAAAATAGAATCTTGACATTTGGGAGTTGTAGTTGCTGGGATTTATAGTTCACCTACAATCACAGAGCATTCCGAACCCCACCAACGATAGAACTGGGCCAAACCTCCCACACAGAACCCTCCATGTGGGCCACAGCAACATGTGGCAGGGGACGGCTAGTCTATATAAATAAAAATGTAATGTTCGTTTGTGGGATTAACAGAACTAAAAAACCACTGGATGAATTGGCACCAAATTTGGACACAAGACACCTAACAACCCAATGTATGTCCTTCACTAAAAAAAAAAAATGATTTTGTCATTTGGGAGTTGTAGTTGCTGGGATTTATAGTTCACCTACAATCAAAGAACATTCTGAACCCCACCAAAGATGGAATTGAACTAAACTTGGCACACAGTTCTCCCATGACCAACAGAAAATACTGGAAGGGTTTGGTGGGCAGTGTCCTTTGGTTTTGGAGTTCACCTACATCCAAAGATCACTGTGGACTCAAACAATGATGGATCTGGACTCTATAAGAACACTCAATATTCCCAAATGTGAACACTGGTGGAGTTTGGGGGAAACAGAACCTTGACACTTGGGAGATGTAATTGCTGGGATTTATAGTTCACCTACAATCACAGAGCATTCTGAACCCCACCAACGATAGAACTGGGCCAAACCTCCCACACAGAACCCCCATGTGGGCCACAGCAACGTGTGGCAGGGGACGGCAAGTTTTGGATAAAGTGTTTGCTGAAACGCATTGAACTGTGTTTTGTTTTGGATTTGGTGGTGGTTTAGAAATTCGTCCATATTCTTCCCATGCAATTTCTGCCTCTGGTGCCAAATGTTAACACAATAACACCTAGGAACGCATCTACCTGTCCTAACATGCCAGTGAGCTTAGCTTCTTCTGAATAATTTGCTTCCACTAAGGACAATGTAAAATAAGAATCAGACTGATAGCTCAGATGAGCTTCTAAACTCCTGCCTCTTTAACAGAGAGAACATTTTGCAAAGGGAGCTAGTGAGCTCAGATTACCAGATAGTCCCAACAGCTCGGTTAGTTGGCAAATCAGAAGTAGTGACAAACCATCACTGCCACCTTCAGGCTGTTCCTAAGTACTGACCTGGCACTTCAGCTTGAATGACAAATGCTGCTAGCAGAATGCATTTATATTAAATTCTGTTGCTCAAGCAATGAATGGGGCTGCTGCCAAGATGTTTGCCACTTGGTTGATACAGCTAATCTGCTTGTGATGAATCAACAGTGGAACGGATGTATTTGGCTTCCTATTCCAATCTGTATGTGTGTGTGTGTTTGTGTGGTGCCTTCAAGTCACCTGTCGACTTATGGCAACACAACAGCATGAATTTCACAGGATTTTCTCAGGCAAGGAATACTCAGAGGTAGTTTTACCAGTTCCTTCCTTTGAAATATAAACAATAGCACCTGGCATTTGTTGGAGGGATATTGGGGAATGATAAAAAATGAGACAGCTAAGTCTGGAGTTGGTGAACAGGGATTAAACACAATGGAAAATGTCAACCACAGGGTTCAAATCTTTCCGTATTACTTCTTCCAGTGAATTAAGCCTGTGCAGCCACCCAAAGAAAAACCCAGCAGTGGTGGCTTGCACAGAGGAATATAGAAAGGAATAGTTCCAATCTTGACAATTGTTCAAATGAAGGGGGTTAAATGACAGTCCATTTACAGCTCAGAACAGCTATTTCTTACAGTTTATTTATTTCTAGCCATCCGCTGCCACATGTTGTTGTGGCCCAGTCTGTATATATGTGCTTTGTGTGTGTATATATGCATATATGTGTGTGTGTATATATGTGTGTGTTTGTGTATTTATGTGGTTTAATGCATGCTTTTTGTTTTTGGCCTTTTAAGTCTCTTCTGCTGTGTTTTTATGAGTGATGGTCACTTGTTGGCCTGAGAGGTGTATTGTGTCCAAATCCGGTATCAATTCGTCCAGTGGTTTTTGGGTTACTGTATATACTCGAATATAAGCTTGAGTTACTGTATATACTTGAATATATAAGTTTTTCAGTCCTTTTTTTAGGCAGAAAAAGTCTCCCCCAGCTTATACTCGAGTCAATGTTATTTATTATTTTACTTTGTTGTTGTTGTTGTTATTGTTATTATTATTATTATTATTGCCACCTCTCAACAAAAGTCAACATCGACACCAAAATGCAACACCGCCTGAGCTCTACGAGTGTAGCATTTTTCTGAATGAAGCAGAGAGTGTTTTGAGTTACTGTATATACTCGAATATATAAGTTTTTCAGACCTTTTTTTAGGCAGAAAAAGTCTCTCCCAGCTTATACTCGAGTCAATGTTATTTATTATTTTACTTTGTTGTTGTTGTTATTGTTGTTGTTATTATTATTATTATTATTGCCACCTCTCAACAAAAGTCAACATCGACACCAAAATGCAACATGCCTGAGCTCTGCGAGTGCACCATTTTTCCGAATGAAGCAGAGAGTGTTTGAGGACTGGGACATCCGTAAGGATACCAAGGTGCTTGTTTATAAAGCTATTGTCCTCCCAACCCTGCTATATGCCTGCGAAACATGGACTGTCTACAGACGTCACATGCAACTCCTGGAACGATTCCAGCAGCTCTGCCTCTGGAAAATCCTGCAAATCTCTTAGGAAGGCAGGCGGACAAATGTCAGCGTGCTGGAATAATAATAATAATAATAATAATAATAATAATAATAATAATCCTTTATTTATACCTCGCTACCATCTCCCGCAGGACTTGGTGCGGCTTACAAGAGGCCGAGCCCAAATACATCATAAAACATAACAACAACAATACAATAATAAATAACTCATAACAAAGCAAAACAATACAATAATGACACAACGCAATTAAAAACCTGTGGCAGGGCAAAATGTAAGAATTAAAAATTTAAAAGATCACCAGCATTGAAGCGATGGTCCTCCACCATCAACTACGCTAGACTGGCCACGTTGTCCAGATGCCCGACCACTGTCTCTCAAAGCAACTGCTCTACTCCGAACGCAAGAACGGAAAACAGAATGTTGGTGGACAGGAAAAGAGATTTAAAGATGGGCTCAAACCCAACCTTAAAAACTCTGGCATAGACACTGAGAACTGGGAAGTCCTGGCCCTTGAGCGCTCCAGCTGGAGGTCAGCTGTGACCAGCAGTGCTGCAGAATTTGAAGAGGCACGAATGGAGGGCGAAAGAGAGAAAGTGCTAAGAGGAAGGCGCGTCAAGCCAATCCCGACCGAGACCGCCTTCCACCTGGACACCAATGCCCTCACTGTAGGAGAACATGCAGATCAAGAATAGGGCTCCACAGTCACCGACGGACCCACCGGAATACTGATCCTGGAAGACTATCCTACTCGGCCAATGAGGGATCGCGTAAGTAACTTGACTTGAGAAGTATAAGGCACACAAATGGGAAAAGGAATTGTTAAGGGTGTGTGTGCGGTCAGTTGCATTCTGGGGTCAAATCCAATAATCTGTTCTCTGAATGAAAAATGACTATAAAGAAAGGGTCCAAAAAGGAAGTAAACATTCCACAGCATTGTCCTTGCAGTACATCTAGTACTTTTCCAGATATCATCTAGGGCTCTAGCCTTCGTCACATCTGTGCCTTAATCAGTTAGTAAAATTGGTCATTGCACAATGTATCAGCTAATAATAGTCTCAGCTGATACTGTAACTGTAGACATTCTTTCACCTGACAGAGAAAATGCCTATCACTGGCGAGGAACAGGTGGCTTGCCAGAAGGGCAGGAGTGAAATACTGCAGGGGAATATCCAAAAAAGAAGAGTAGGGGGAGAAGCCAACTTGCTTTATAGCCTTGCATAAATGGGAAGGGCATTTTTACACTCAGCAATCTCAGTTGGATCCCAGAACCTTGTATCAGTGCCACCTTAATATTCATAAAAGGAATGCATGAAAAATGCCCCAAACCCAAGACTTACAGACCCAGGAAATGCAAAGCAAAGAAGGTATCTATCTAGAAAAGGGCTTCTTAAACCTTTTCCACTCATTACCTCTTTTGACCTAAGATTTTTTTTCCCCACAAACCCAGGTATATCTATATAAATAAAAATGTAATCTTAATTTGTGGGATTAACATAACTCAAAAACCACTGGATGAATTGACACCAAATTTGGACACAATACACCTATCAGGCCAATGAATGTCCATCACCCCTAAAAACACACAAAAAACCCAGCAGAATGAACTTAACCCCCCACCCCCAATAAACTATATCGACATATACACATACACTCACATACATATACACACACACATACATACATACAACACACACATATATATACACAAGCACACACAAATATACGCATGCAGACATACACATATATTACATATACACATGCACACATACACATATAGATATACATACACACACACATATATAAACAAGCACACACATATACTCAATATACATATACATATAAACACAAATACACAAATACACACGTATACACACATATACACATACACATACACTCATATACATATACACATGCACACATACATAGGTAAAGATTGTCCTCTGACATTAAGTCCAGTCATGTCTGACTCTGGGGTGTGGTGCTCATCTCCATTTCTAAGCTGAAGAGCCAGCGTTGTCCATAGACACCTCCAAGGTCATGTGGCCAGCATGACCACATGGAGCGCCGTTACCTTCCTGCCGGAGCGGTACCTATTGATCTACTCACATTTGCATGTTTTTGAACTGCTAGGTTGGCAGAAGCTAGGGCCGACAGCGGAAGCTCACGCCGCTCCCTGGAATCGAACCTGCGACCTTTTGGTCAACAAGCTCAACAGCTCAGTGCTTTAACCCACTGCGCCACCGGGGGCCCCTAGCACACATACATACATACATACATACACATATATATACACAAGCACACACAAATATACACATATATATACACATTCACACATACATGCACACATACACATATATTACATATACACATGCACACATACACATATAGACATACATACACACACATATATAAACAAGCATACACATATACACCATATACATATGCACATATAAACACAGAAATACACAAAAATATATACACAAGCATACACACATATATATATACACATGCACACATCTATCTATATATCTATATCTATCTATCTATATATACAAACACACATATATACACATATAGACAAATATATGTTGTTGTTCATTCGTTCAGTTGTCTCCGACTCTTCGTGACCTCATGAACCAGCCCACGTCAGAGCTCCCTGTCGGCCGTCACCACCTCCAGCTCCTTCAAGGTCAGTTCAGTCACTTCAAGGATGCCATCCATCCATCTTGCCCACACAAAACATATAAACAGAGTAGGCCACAGCAACGCGTGGCAATGTATGGCTAGTAGATATATAAAAGAAGTATAAAAATAAAACATTTACTGAACAGTAAATGTTCAGTTGCTAAACAGGCTAATTTTCAATGTTACGTACTGTTGGGAGTATTTTCTGCAGAATCCACTGTAAACACTGCAGATTTGTGTAAATGTTTAGGTGGTGTTCAGAAAACTTTTACTCTTTTGTCATTTTTTTCGAGTCCCCAACACTGAACTAAGGAGATCCCAAACTCAGCCAGAGACTGGTAAATAGTTCCTGTTTTGGCTCTCTGACCCATCCAATATCCTCAAGTAATATTTAATACTGATTTTGTATTATGCTAATAATATAATATACTGTATGTATATATGTCTTGTAAGCCGCTCTGAGTCCCCTTCGGGGTGAGAAGGGTGGCATATAAATATCGTAAATAAAATAAAATAATAAATAAATAATAAATAAGTGCCAAATATACTAACGGTCTGTGACTCAAACTATAAGGTGGACTGGAGACCATCATCTGGCTGAGAGCCGACACAATGATGAGGATGAGAATAGGCATCAGCTGGACAAACAGCCCAAGGCCACCCTGGAAAAGAGGAAGGAAAGGTGGTTAGTGCATTTGCATTCAGAGAACGGCTTGCCATTGCCCACTCCTGCCTGGGGGTTACAAGAAGAAAGAATAAATTTAACATGGAATGAGATTGCCAAGGCAGCTGTAATAATATCCAGTGCTCGGGTCACATTTCTTATTCAAAATGCTTGGGTTCAGAAGTATTTTGGATTTTTGATCACTTGAATTGGAATATATGTACATAATAAGGTATCTTGTTAATGCAATTAATTTATGTCTCACTGTATACAGATATGAGAGCCAGCCTGGTATAGTGGCTTGTGTGTTGGATTATGACTGGAGACTAGGGTTTGAATCTTTGCTCAGACATGGAAACCCAATGGGTGACCTTGGGGAAGTTATACTTTCTTGGTCTCAGAGAAAGGTGAAAAGAAAGGCAACCCTCACCTCACTACCTCTGAGGATGCTTGCCATAGATGCAGGCGAAACGTCAGGAGAAATGCCTCTAGAACATGGCTCTATAGCCCAAAAAAACCCACAAGAACCTAAAGGCAACCCTCTTCTGAACAAATCCTGCTCACCAAAACATTGTGATGAGTCTTAAATCAGAAACGACTTGGAGGAACACTACAATATAAATTAATCTTGTTATATTTTGTTGCCTTAAGTTGTTGAGTAGTGTCAGAAATAAGCTTAAATGCTATATGTGATTATGGTATGTATCTACAACCAGGACCATAAGAGCTGTTCAACAGTGTAACTGTGCCTTCAAGTGTGGTGGAAGCTCCTTCCTTGGAAGCTTTTAAACAGAGGCTGAATGGCCATCTGTTAGGGATACTCTGATGCTTTTCCTGCATGGCAAAGGGTTGGACTGGATGACTCATACAGTCTCTTCCAACTCTATGCTTCTAGGAGGCATGTTGAATTTCAGATTTCTGGGCTTTTAGGGCATTTTCCCCCATGGGAAGGCCCAAAGTCCATGGAGAGCTGATGTTGCAGCTCAGGACAACAATGAAATACATTACCCCTGAGGATTTAGTACTAGACTACCTGCGTGACCGCATCTCTGTGTACGAACCCACACGATCTCTTCGATTATCTGGAGAGGCCCTGCTCACACTCCCACCACCATCACAAGCGCGATTGGTAAGGATGAGGGAGAGAGCCTTCTTGGTGGTGGCCCCTCGACTCTGGAACTCACTCCCCAAGGACATCAGGCAAGCCCCAACTCTGGCAGTCTTTAGGAGGAGCCTGAAAACTGTGGCTGTTTCAGTGTGCCTTCCCAGAATAAGGAAACTCCCAGCAATATGTCCCTAAACGCACTTTAATAATGATTTAAGATTGTCTGCACATTTCTTCCCTCTTCAAAACTTCTATCCCAGTTACATGTCACCTTGTCATGCCTAGCATTATTTTTAAAATTTTAATTATTACATTTGGTCCAGCCATAGGTTTTTAAATGCGTTGTGTCATTGTTGATGTTTATTGCTTATTTTTGCTTATGAGTTTATTTATTGTTTTTTATTATTGTTGTTATTGTTTATTGTTGTATTGTGGGCTCGGCCACATGTAAGCCACACCGAGTCCCTTGGAGAGATGGTAGCGGGGTACAAATAAAGAATAATAATAATAATAATAATAATAATTATAATAATAATAATTATTATTATAGACTTTCAATGGGTACTTTTAGGCCAGTGGTTTCCAACCTGGGGTCTGTGGACCACCAGTGGTCCGCAAGAACTAAATATATGGTCCACGACCTCACCGTTACTACACAGTTGCAACGAGAGCGACTTGTTTCACAAAACCTTCTTATAGTGCTGAGGCTTATTAAATATGGCTTTCTGTGGGCGAGCCGATGGCGACTACTGGATGGCATATGTTCTGTATCAGAAACTAGAGCTGATGTGGTCTATCCAATGCAATTTTCTGAATCAGCACCCCAAATAACCCAACCAAATCTAAAGTTGACCAATGTATTTTCGAAGGCTTTCATGGCCAGAATCACTGGGTTTTTGTATGTTTTTTCGGGCTATATGGCCATCTTCTAAAGGCATTCTCTCCTGATGTTTTGCCTGCATCTATGGCAAGCATCCTCAGAGGTTGTTAGGTCTGTTGGAACTAGGAAAATTGGTTTTATATATCTGTGGAATGGCCAGGGAGGGACAGGGCCTTCTCGGTGGTGGCTCCTCGGCTTTGGAATTCCCTCCCACCAGAGATTAGATCTGCTCTTTCCCTCCTGATCTTTAGAAAGCTAATAAAAACCTGGCTTTGAAATATGGCATTTGAAGATTGAGTCAATAACCCTTGTCCACATGGAAGGATGGCGATGAATTGTGACTGTATTGATGACTTGTAATGTGATGATGATGTTTTTATTGTACTTATATTTTTTAATGTGTAATGATGATGCATTGTGCTGTTTTGTATATTACTGTATATGAACACATGTTGTGAACCGGCCTGAGTCCCTCCTTGGAGGTGAGAAGACCGGTATATAAAACTTCTAAATAAATAAATAAATAAATAAATAAATATATATTTATTTATGTCTGTTGGAGCTAGGTGTGAATGTTTCAACTGACCACCTTGATTAGCATTTGATGGCCTGGCAGGTTTTTTTGGGTGTAGCTTGTTACTGCCTGGGGAAATCCTTTGTTGAGAGGTGGTTAGCTGTCCCTGATTATTTCTTGTCTGGAGTTCCCCTGTGTTTGAGTTTTGTTCTTTATTTGCTGTTATAATTTTAGAGTCCACACCAAAAAACTGCCAGGCCATCAAATGCTAATCAAGGTGGTCAGTTGAAACATTCACACCTAGCTCCAAAAGACAAGAGTTCTTTGTCCCACCCTGGTCATCCCATAGATATATAAACCCAATTTTCCTAGTTCCAATAGATCTCACTACCTCTGAGGATGATTGCCATAGATGCAGGCAAAACGTCAGGAGAGAATGCCTCTAGAACATGGCCACATAGCCCGAAAAAACCTACAACAACCCAGTGATTTGTAACTCTTTTGGTACTAATGTTGGCGAGTGGTCCCTAGTCAAAGTGGTCCCTGGTCAAAAAAAGGTTGGGAACCATTGCTTTAGGCTGACAAAGTGAAAAAAGTGTATAGAATAGTTATGACGGAGCAGTACAAACCACAGGTGTTTTTTTTTACTGAAAAAAATTCTGCAAAAGGTTTTGAAGGGGCTTCCTTTCTTCTTATTGCAACTTACATCGCCTTGGTGCTCCCTCCTGTCTTGTCTCTGGTGGTAGGTATATCGCATTCGGCCATTGCTGTATACATGAACATTACCTGTACAGGAGAAAAAACATGCTGAGAATCGAAGAAACATTGTTTCAGCCTACCAATTCAGGAATTGCCATGAAATTCAGAACATTCCACTTCTGTAATGGTGTTTAACAGGGTGCCATCAACTGCACGGAGAAGTTCTTAATAACAGGAGTTGAGTCTACCATTACTGAGTTCTCAAGATTGGGCGGCACAAAGGGAAGAAGTAAGAAAATCAGTTTCTCAAACTAGCTGAAATTAAACTGGATTTCTATTCAGATCCTGAGCACAATATTTGGAAGCTTAATTCTTCTGAAAACACAGTGGTCTACTTTTATGTATAGCATTTGGGAGTGTTTAATCCATAGAGAACTGGCTGATGTGCCACTGGAAAAAGGTATGAAAGGAGGATGAAAATTTAACGTTGCCCCCACAAGTGCCAAGGAAAATTGCTTGAGACACAACTGCGAAAGAGCCTATGGATGTGGACTCTATTCCGATTGCAAGAGTAATACAAGACTGCTTCAACATCAAAGATTTTATGCTCTCCTTACAAGACCTGGTAGGTACATGACCTCAGCATCCTTTCACAAGGATTTGCTGCTCTCTAAGAGGCACCTGGTAAGGGTTTGGCTTGCTGTGAGAGGGTGTTGAGACCAACGGATCCTTTGACATTCTCGGGCCCTCTCCCCGCTCACCCCCACCTTCTGCCAGCACCCCCAGGGAGTTGCTCTTTGGCCACCCCCTCCCTCCTTAGCTCCCAGGAGGTTCATCTCACGCGGCTCTCCCCGGCGTTCCCTCCAGACAGGCTCCACCACTCTCGGAGGCTTCCCGTTGCGGGCAGGGGCGCTGGGCTCCCAGTGACGTCTTCCTTTGGGCTCTCTATAAAGGGTGGGGCCTGCCAGGGAGACTCGGATAAGTAAGACCCCTGCTGCTCCCTCCCACCACATCCCTTTCCTGGTTTTTGGGAGCCCCGAGGGCTCATTCTTGGTAAGTTCCCCACCTACCCTACCATTTGGGCTTTGGACATCTCCATAACCTATTAATGGATATCATCTGAAGCTTGTAGAACTGGTATTGATCAGGCCAAGCAATCCCGCAGAAAGGGGGAAAGGGACCTTCCTAAAATGGACCACGATATGGCATAGGATGTCCCCACTCCCTGCTCCTGCAAATCTTCATATCTACCCGATCTTCTCTCAGCCAAGTGCTGTCTGTTATGCATCTGTTTCGAGAGGTTTTCCGAATTTTACAGGGGATTTAATCAGAACTTGGAAGTGTTAATTTTGAGGACCACAATCCCCAGAATCCCCTCACCAGCACGTCAAGGTGCAATAGTATTCCCTAGATCTGCCTGTAGTGCTCTAAAATATCCAGGCTCTAATACAGGGTGAAGCATAACTTCCTTTTTTAAAATGCGCGCCATTCAGTCGGTTGAAGACATAGCGGAGCGCTAGTGGTCTCATTCGAGAGGCGGGAGTATAAAGTTTTGTCCTAACACAGTTCAGTTGCCATCATGCGTTGGAACAGTGAGGAGCGTGCTTTTGCCGTTGAGGCCTACTTTTCAAGCGGATTTGGAGTGGCCGGTCTGCTCTCCAGATTTGGCCCCTTGTGATTTTTTTCTACGGGTTTTTTTTTGAAAACCCGTGTTTATGTGAACCGTCCAAGGACCCTACAAGATTTGAAGACCAACATCCAGAAGAAATTGCCAACATAACGCCTGCTATGCTGGCAAGAGTCATGACAAACGCCAGAAATCGGTTTACTCAGTGTATGGAGAATGGGGGAACGTCATCTACCTAATTTGATCTTTAAAACTATGTAAAACAAAACTTTAGGTATGCACCTACATTATATAAAAAAATTCTGATTCATACAATGGGTTTTATTAAATTTTGAAAAAAGGAAGTTATGCTGCTTCACCCTGTATGAGGTATGCTAGAAAACTAAATGCTCCCTAATCTACTGGGTATAGCAATTGGAAGCCCACACAAATGTTATCAATAGAGTTAGGAAGCCAAAACCACTGTAAGTACATGCACTTCTTTGCTCCTTAGATGTGCTTTTCTAGATGCCTTTAAAGCCCAAGCCAAGAAACAGTCAGATAGGAAGAGTCCCGGTAGGGTGAGCCCTTCCAGATTACCTAAATGCTTACAATGTGCAAGAATGAAAGCGATCATACACAGCATATCAATGTTTATGAGTGCTTTGAAAATGGAACATGCACTAGCCCCACTGTGGATGTTCTGCTGAGCTCAACAAGTTCTCTGTTTGTGCATGTTAGTTATGATTCTGAAAAATGCTGAAATCCACTTTCACCTGGCCCATTGTCGTCAGACCACTTACTACAATGCAGCCTGAGCCCTGCCATATGCACAATGGAGGACCTTCTTACAGTGACACCAAAGGCACTCCAAGTCAAAGGACATTTAGTATAATCCCAAGTTTTTAACTTTATGTTTTTAAATACATTATAACTGTACACCAAACTCGCTTCTGATATGATAAATAAATACCTGGCCAATTGACCACCTTTCTGAAATGGGATGATAATAAACCACTGAGCACTGCATCCACTCACACACTGGAAGCAACTTCTGGACAGCACAATATTTTTATATATTTACTAGCTGTCCCCTGCCACACGTTGCTGTGGCCCAGTCTGTGTATATGTGTTTTGTGTGTGTATATGTTTGTGTATATGTGCATATATGTGTGTTTGTGTATATATGTGGCTTTGCGCATGTGTTGTAATGCATTTTTTGTGTTTTTGGCTTTTTAAGTCTCTTCTGCTGTGTTTTTATGAGTGATGGTCACTTGTTGGCCTGATAGGTGTATTGTGTTCAAATTTAGTGTCAATTTGTCCAGTGGTTTTTGAGTTATATTAATCCCACAAATGAACATTACATTTTTAATTATATAGATCGGTGGTTCTCAACCTGGGGTCCTCAGATGTTTTTGGCCTACAACTCCCAGAAATCCCAGCCAGTTTTCCAGCTGTAAGGGTTTCTGGGAGTTGAAGGCCAAAAACATCTGGGGACCCCAGGTTGAGAACCACTGATATAGATAAAGGCACAAACATAGAGAAGTTAGTCAAGGTTCCGTTTTGAGGCCGAACAAAGCACTGGCAACAAACAGCTGTTTTTTTTTTTTCTGAATAAAGATGATAGCCCTGTTTGTGGACTACTGAGTTTTGACTTGTGACATGCAATGCATTCCATTTAAAACAAGACTTCAATTCAGAGGAAGCTTTTCAATCACAAACATCATTGAAGTAGCCAAGGGGAAAAAAACCCCAAACTGTAAGATCTGGAGAGTCGTTAGGCTTGTCTTTTCCAAATCTTCTATCCACAAACAATAATTATATCACAATACATTTTCATGAGTAGAGCCTGCTTGAGTTGACAAAGGCATTGTCCAAATTCTGACCTGAAGATAGCGTAACGTTTTAATGCGTCCACCCACAACTTCAAGTGTTACAGTCCAGAAAAAAAGTGTTACTATCTTATCTGACTTATGTGCACAAGAATTTCTTTAGAACAGGTACAGATGCAGATAGAGATGCCAAGCCATTTCCTATAAACTGCACCCATTACTGGGCTAAGATGTGATTAAAAGAAACTGCTCAGATCAATTCCAGATAGTTGAGAGTAGAGCTTCTGAATTAAATTTGTGGGAGAAAAGAAGTGTGAGATGAGCCCATCCATTTTTTTCTGCCAGGCATGCTTCTTTCTATCTACTTTTGCACACAAAAACAGAAACAAAACTTGGAAAGTTCCTTTATGATTGATTTTTCTTTCAATCGTTTGTTATAGAGTTTGGAAAAACAATTTGTGGTTGACACTGTTACTGGTTACAATGCTATCTGTTATTTTCGATTACTTCGGGGAAGATCCCTTAGGACAGGGGTGCCAAACTCATTTTTATCAGCCTTATTGTTATCTTCAAAGGGTCACTAGTAATTGCAAGATTATATAAAGTTAACTGTATTGCCCTGCCATTGAAAACCTCACGGGCCACATAAAATGACGTGATAGGTCGGATTTGGCCCGTGGGCCTTGTGTTTGACACACGTGCCCTAGGATTCATGTGAATTTTTGTCAAAATGCTTCTTTTAATGTGCTTTGAAAGTAACTTAAAAAGTAATTAGAAAATGCTACTTGGCAAACCAATAACGAAATGTGCAGCTTCACCGTGGGCGGTTCCAGACAACACTTTAATCGGGTTTTAAAAATGCGATTGGACTTGCACTGAAGTCTGCACATGGCCCAGAAAGCTCGTGCTTTTCTGGAGCAGGTGTCCAGATGCCCTGCTGGACTTTCCAGCAGGACACCGGGACACAAAACAAAAGCCCTCAGAAAAGCCTTAAAAATTAAAATAACTTTCCTGGCCACCATTTCCCCTTCTCTGTAACTCTCTTAGCACGTAGAAATGACGCACCAATGAGGCCCTTCCTAGAGATATTAGGTTGGCCCCCTCCCTCCTAACATTTTGTCAAAAAGTTAAAACCTGGCTTTTCAAGCAAGCATTTCCAAATGCAGTGTAACAGGCAAACAGAGATCTATGGAACGACTGAACAATGCCACTGGAAAATGATTTTAGTAAGAAGACGCTGAGGATTTATGTTTTTATGAGTTTTGTATGGTTTCTATATTATATGCTAAATGTTTTAAATTGTATTTTATGTTGTTGGGGGCATCGAATTGTGCCAACTGTAAACTGTCTTGAGTTGCCTTTGGGCTGAGAAAGGTGGTACATAAATACAGTAAATAAATAAATAAATAAAAAATAGGGGGGGGGAGTTTTTTCTCCCCCCGCCCATTCTGCTGGCATGCCATTTCTACACACCACGAGTGCTCTAGAGAAGGGTGGCCAGGTAAGTTATTTTATTTTTTAAGACTTTTCTGGGGGGTTTGAGGAGGACATTAGAGCCCTCTCTGATGGAGCCCAGAAAACATGAGAGGGTTTTGTGGATAGCCCCCTTAGAGCGGGCAGTCCAGACACTGCCCACAGCTGGAAAGATCCAGGTCATAGAATCATAGAGTTAGAAGAGACCTCATGGGCCATCCAGTCCAACCCCCTGCCAAGAAGTAGGAAAATTGCATTCAATGCACCCCCGACTGATAGCTATCTAGCCTTTGTTTAAAAGCTTCCAAAGAAGGAGCCTCCATCACACTCCAGGGCAGAGAGTTCCACTGCTGAACGGCTCTCACAGTCAGGAAGTTCTTCCTAATGTTTTTTCAAGAAGACCCAGGTCTTTCCAGCTGACAACTTACTTTAGAACAAAACAGCATTTTTCTGCTTTGGCCTAAAAGCATTCGTTTTTACGTGGGGCGTTGTTTGGACGCCTCGTGAAAATGTGGAAGGGCGTGCACTTTAGGTGCTGTCTGGATGCACCCTGTGTCCTAATGGACAAACAAATAAGTAGGTCAGATGCATTGCTCTTACTAAGATTTGGAGAAGCAACCAGTGAATGGCAGTCCACCCCGCCCCCTTTTAAAGCCAAGATTATGTTGTATCACAAGCAGAGAGCAGGCACATTGCTGGCAAACAAAGCTTAAAAGAAACACATTCAAGCAAGAAAATGCCAAGTAACATGCTGTCAGGAATACATTATATATTTAGCAAAATCCGGCCAGCATCTTGAAAGAAATGTTGGGCCTTTAAAAAAATTCTTTCTACTATGTAAGCTATTAATAGGGGACATGTGATGCTCCAGATGTGGTTGGACTGTAATTTTAGCATCCTTAGCCCTGATTAGGACTGATGAGTGTTGGGGTCCATTAACACATGGAAGGACACATGTTCCTTATCTCTGAATTAAAGGGGGAAGGGTAATTCTTCTTTGAGAAGAAAGGAAAACATTTTCCTTCCCCATCCCTTGAACATACAGGGAAACACATCTTATAATGACCAAATCTTTTCACTCAGAAATGCCATTTTCAATTATGTGGCAGAATAGTGCTATTTTAGAGCTACCTCAAAGAACAGGAAGGTCTGTTGGGTCAGAACAATTTTCATTTTTGGGTCATATCTGACACAGGAGAAAGGAAGCATTCTCAGAAAAGGAAACTTTTTCCAATATTACAAGCAAATATCTTTCCCAAGGATTCCAGGAATTCCCATCTCGAATGACCTTCTTTGCTAGAAAATTAACACATAGAACATATTACCACAGGCTACCATTTTGTCAGCTAAAGCAGCGGTTCTCAACCTGGGGTCCCCAGATGTTTTTGGCCTACAACTCCCAGAAATCCCAGCCAGTTTACCAGTTGTTAGGATTTCTGGGAGTTGAAGGCCAAAAACATCTGGGGACCCCAGGTTGAGAACCACTGAGTTAAAGGGTTTCATCTGGCATAGATTTACTAAAAGGGGCAAATAGATTTATGCATGAGATGCTTCTACTTTGGTTCAAGAAGAAGCCAACTAAGGGATGTCCCATTCCCCTTACAACCGCGCTCTACAATCACATTTAGGCTTACTAGAAGGAAAGCCTCCACCGAAAAACATATTGAAGAGATCCTCTGGAGAGATGTCAGCCTCAAACCCTCGGTTGAAATCTGTAGGGCTGTGTCGCGTGGGACTGATTTTGGCATCTCCAAACTGGTCATACTGCTTCCTCTTCTCTGGATTACTCAATACTGCATATGCATTACCAATGGCTAAAATGCAAGGAAGAAGAACATGGTTAGATTCTTTCCATGGGAAAAAGGTAACATTAATCGAAGGTGGAAATGGAAGCCCTGCATCCTCTCTCCCCAGACACTAGCCTGTCACACAAGAACGCCATGGAGGTTCTGGTCCAACTTACCTGTCCAAACGTATTTCCCTTTATGAGCCAACTAGAGACTTAAGATCAGCTGGGGAGCCCCTGCTCTTGCTCCCACCCCCGTCACAAGTGCGACTAGTAGGGACAAGAGACAAGGCATTCTCAGTGGTGGCCCCTCGATTGTGGAACTCCCTCCCCAGTGACATCAGGCTGGTCCCATCCCTCCTGGTCTTCAGGAAAAGGCTAAAGTTCTAGCTCTTTACACATGTGTTCGGAGAATAAGACAACATGGAATTGACTGCAACAGCTTGAATAATCACTAAGAAAAAGTCAATAAATATGGAAACCAAGACTCGGCACTTTGTTATGTTTTCAATCTGGTTTTTTTTATTTGTTTTATTGCTTGTATGTGTGCTAATTGTTTATATGTTTTATCTGTTTTATAGTTTGATATGGATATGATGAAGCATTGAATTTTTGCTGGAGTTTGTAAGCTGCCTTGAGTCCCCTGTGGGGAGAGAAAGGCAGGGTATAAATGAAGTAAATAACTAATAAATAAATATACTTTACAGGATTGGAAAAATCAGTGACTCAACACATATGAAATATGTTGAATATTCATAATATATCATCAACGACTTAAATCAAGAAATAGTTTTCTAAGATCTACAGAGACAATCGCTGGAACACCCCAGCAAGCAAGAGTGGCAGGCTCAAAACCAGAACCTCAATCAATGGCTGATACCAAATGAGAGACTCCCCCCTGGGCACACAGAAAACTGGGCGACTTGAAAGGCACTGAACAGACTGTGCTCTGGCACCACGAGATGCAGAGCCAACCTTAAGAAATGGGGCCACAAAGTGGAATCCATGACATGCGAGTGTGGAGAAGAGCAAACCACTGACCACCTGCTGCAATGCAACCTGAGCCCTGCCACATGCACAATGGAGGACCTTCTTGCAGCAACACCAGAGGCACTCCAAGTGGCCAGATACTGGTCAAAGGACATTTAATCAACTACCAAGCTTCAAACTTTGTGTTTTGTCTGTCTGTTTGTTTGTTTTGTTAAAAATGTAATACAAATGTCTGGTTGCTCCTGACATGATAAATAATAAATAAATAAATATTCATAATATGGCATCTGAATAATAATAATAATAATAATAATAATGATAATAATGTATTCATTTGAAACATTTATATTCCGCCCTTTTTACCCCAAAGGGCACTCAGGATGGAGCACAGCATATATACAGCAAGCATTCAGTGACAGGACAAGAATTCATTATATGCCTATACAACAATTAGAAACATTTATCTCAGTATTAAAATACACTGTTTAAAACTGTCTTGGTTATCTGCGTCAAATCTAATCAGCCTGGTAAAGTTTCTTATGGCTGCTTTATTGCACTGCCCCGAAAGCTTGATCCCACAGCCAAGTTTTTACCATCCTTCTGAAGGACAGGAGGGAGGGGGCCGATCTGATCTCACCAGGAAGGGAATTCCATAGCCGGGGAGCAATCACCGAGAATGCCCTGTCTCTCGTCCCCACCAATCGCGCCTGTGACAATGGCAGGAAGGAGAGCAGGGCCTCCCCGGAAGATCTTAATCGCCGCGATAGTTCATAAGGATAGATGCGTTTGGACAGGTAAATTGGGCCAGGGCCGTTTCGGGCTTTATAAGCCAAAGCCAGCACTTTGAATTGTGCCCAGTAGCAAACTGGCAGCCAGTGGAGCTGGCGTAACATGGGAGTTGTATGCTCCCTGTATGCTGCCCCAGTTATTAACCTGGCTTCCTCTCATTGGACTATTTGAAGCTTCTGAGCAGTCTTCAAAGGCAACCCCACATAGAGTGCATTGCAGTAGTCTATCCTAGATATAATGAGAGCATGGACCACCACGGCCAAGTCTGATTTCCCAAGGTACGGGCACAGCTGGCGCACAAGTTTTAATTGTGCAAAAGCTCCCCTGGCTTTTCTCCCAATAGTTTGTTTATGAACTATCAAACTTTTGTATGACCCCATACTTGAAGATCTGTTTCAAAGGTCTTTGCTATGCATCCCTTAAACAAAAAAGGAGTTCAGTTGGTGGGAACCTAGGACTGGACTTTTTCTACAGCAGGTATCTATTTGTAGATTTCATACATCTGATCCCATACAAACTGTCAGAAGTGCTGTCCAGCAACAAAAGAATTATGTGAAGCTAAATCTGTTAGCTTCACTTGTTGGCCTCACCTAGAGTAATAGATCCTGAATGAGTCACATTGATTCAGTGCACTGAAGAAATCTGGGACTAACAACTGGGTTTAGCACATGAAAATGCAAATGTATTTTGTTCTTTATCAAATATATTTAGCCAGCAGAGCTGATGGGATTTTCAACCCAACATCAGTAGGGCCCCAAGTTTCCTACCTCTGAAATATTACATTTCTTTTGAGCCACTAAATAGATCAAGTAATAATAATAAACTGAGTATTTTTTCTTTGGAAAGACTGCTGTATCAAATTACATCTGCAAAACCATGGTACAATTCAGGTAAAGAAATAGAGTTCATACAAAGACCTAGGGCACAGAGGCCATCTGAAGCAACAGAAAAATGCCAAACAAGGTCCAGTCAGTGATCTGAGCACCCCAGTGTTATTACATTTGGTCTGCTATGGTTTCTGTTTAACTATTGGTACATGTTGTATTTCTTATTTACTCTATTCTGACGTCTTGATTTCTCAATTCCATTCTCTCTCCTTACAGGAAACTGTCCTTGACTCGCATTTTCCTGTCTGTAGTTCCCAGATGTTTAGGACTAGATTGACACATCTTTGATTAAATAGTAGACACAACACTAGTAATCCTACAATCAAACAATAAAACCTGATTATAGGAGTGAACCTTGCAGTGTGTTACAAACAATATTTCAAATGGACAGAACAAAAAATAAATCATAAGGAGTGATCATTTGCAAGGTCCAGCAAGTCAATGCCTTAAATCTGCTTTTCTCACCCCGGGGGGGAGGGGGGGGGGGAATGGACTCAAAGCCGTTTCCAACATATTTATAGCAAAATTTAATGCCTCACATACATATGAAACCTAACATAAAACAACAATAAAATATAACAATAAATTAGATCATAAAAAGTAAACAACATTTAAACATTAAAACGTGGAGTTAAAAACATATTAATATAAATGTTAAAATCACATAATCCAAAAATCATGGTCAAAGGCTGTTCCAGGAAGAAATAGCTACCTAAGCTCTACAGAGATACTCGCAGGAACACCTCAGCAAGCAAGAGTACAAAAGTGGCAGGCTAAAACCTGGAACCTCAATTGATGGCTGAAACTACATGAGACCCTCCCTCCTGGGCACACAGAAGACAGGATGATTTGGAAGGTGGTGGACAGACTGTGCTCTGGCACCACGAGATGCAGAGCTAATCTCAAGAAATGGGGCTATAAAGTGGAGTCCATGACATGCAAGTGTGGAGAACAGCAAACCATAGACCACCTACTAGAATGTGGTCTGAGTCCTGCCATATGCACAATGGAGGACCTTCTCACAGCGACACCAGAGGCACTTGAAATGGCCAGCTTCTGGTCAAAGAAAATCTAGCATAATGCCAAGTTTTTAACTTTGTTTATGGTTTTTTATACATTAATAGCTGTCCCCTGCCACGCGTTGTTGTGGCCCAGTCTGTGTATATGTATTTTTGTGTGTATATACGTATATGTGTGTATATATTTGAGTAATTTAGTGCAATCTGGTAATGGAACATAGGAATAGAACAATGGACGACGAACCTGGACTACGCTTGGATGATGAGAAGATTGGGTACGGTTGTTTTTTGTAATAATTGTGCATTGTAATTGCTTATTGGTAATTTATGGATAATGTGTTAAGTCAATTGTTATATGTTGTATGGAACCACTGCTGTTTCTACTGTTTTTACTGTTTGTGAACCGCTGTGAGTCGCCTTCGGGCTTGAGATACAGCGGTATATAAGCAAAGTAAATAAATAAATAATAAATAAATATATTTGTGTATATGTGTAAATATGTTGTTTTGTGCATGCATTGTAATTTTGGCTTTTTAAGTCTCTTCTGCTGTGTTTTTCAGTGTTTTTATAAGTAATGATCACTTGTTGGCCTGATATATGTATTTTGTCCAAATTTGGTGATTATTTGCCCAGTGGTTTTTGATTTATGTTAATCATAAATACACGGACAGTATTTTATTTATTTTTATAGAACGTCTTAAGAAGTGTTTCTAAACTTTTTTAATGCCACACAACCTCTTAATGCAGTTCCTCACGTTGTGGTGTCCCCCAACAGCCAGGCTTTCCTTGCAATCCTCCAATTTTGGAGGGAGGGTTGCCTGGGAGCCACTTGGGCCTCAAGGAGCCTCTACGGTGGCTCCAGATGCTGCCGGGGCTTGCCTCGCCAAGCCTCCACACACTCTGTCTGTCCTTCCTTCCTTCCCTCTTTCCTTTCCTCAATCCCTCCCCTCCCCAAAAGAAAGTGGACTCTGCCTTTCTGCTTGGAAAGGGATTCCATGGCTAGGCTTCTCTTCCTTCACAACAGTTGGTGCGTCAGTCTTCTGCTGCGTTGGGGGGGGGCTTTTGTGCATGCTCTGTTAGGTATTTTTTTTTGGGGAGGGGAATTATAAAGTTATTTCCCCTTCATTTTTAAAGATTTTTTTGTTTGAAATACATAGATTGGATTAGTATGAGTTTTCCTGCCAAATTTAGTGCCAATTCGTCCAAGGGTTTTTGAGTTCTGTTAATCCCACAAACGAACATTATGTTTTTATTTATACAGATAACTGTATTCTCAATTTGCTTCTGACACTATAAATAAATAAATAAATAAATAAATAGGAAATATGTATTCTTAAAAGTAGTCAAACTTTCAGGATACTTCCAAAGTTATTCGATTTACAACTTTTTAACCAAAATGGTGTGTACTACATTTTTTGGTTTTACTGAGGATACAACTATTGTGTTTCTACACTCTAATCCTGGAAATAATTTTTCATTTCCTTACCAATGTACACCAAACAAGCAGAGAAACATGACTGAATAAAACAAGGTCTGAAGACAGAAATGTCATACTTATCAGCGGTCACTGAGAAATGGAGCACTAAAAGCACCAGTTGACGTAAGTGGCAGAAAAATATTAACCAAGAAATTTCGAGTGTCACTCTTTCCGTGCTCTAAAGCCACAGAAATGAACTTTAGCAGGCAGAAGGAATACGAACATGGCAAAGATCAAGGGAGCACTGAAATGGGATGGGATGAAGATAATCCCATGAAAGATGTCCCTTCTAAAGATAAGTGCTATCTAGCTTTGTGCCCCCCCCCCTCCTCAAGTTGTGACATGCATCTCTTGGTAAAACTCTCGGTAAATAATATAAACTCTACAGGTGAAGAATTCTACCTTTTGCCACTTTGAATACCACAGTTTGATACCCAATGCAAGCCGAGTGTCTGGATAGGCAAGTACAGATTTAATCAGATCCCAATCTATGTCATCAGAGCCTCTTTCTGTCCCAAAAGAACCTAATAGATCCCATGGCAGTGCTTTCCATTGCAGTTTGCGTTTGGAAACTTAAATTGTATATATATATTTTTATCGGCTGTCAAAAGACTGTGGAATGATCTGCCAGAAGAGCTAAATCAGCTGTCAAAATTTAAGACACAACTGAAGACCTATCTCTCCTGGCAGGCCTATCCTGTCAATTTTAACGTGCATTTTATTGGCAATTTTTAGCTGTATTTTACCTGTGTATATGTTTTATGTATTTTAATAGTGCTTTGTTTTACTTCACTGTTGTAACTATATGATACCCTGCTGTGAACTGAAAGAAGGCAGACAATAAATAAGCCAATACATTATAATAGTAGTAATTATCATCATCATCAACCTCATTTTCAATGTCTCTCTCACTCACTATATATATATAGATATAGTTATATTTGCAGTTCAGTCAGTCCCCAAGTTAGCTGTGTGTATTTGTTTTATGTATTTAAATAGTGTTTTGTTTTACCATCCTGTTTTAACTATGTTCTACCCTGCTTCGAACCACAAGGAGAGGCGGGCAATAAATAAATCATTATTATTACGATCATCATCATCCTAATTTACAACCCCCCTCTCTCATTATACGAGGGGTATTTTTTAAGTAAGGTCCATTTTGTTGTAGACACTAGTAGTTCGCGCGCATACCACAACGAGTGCGTGCGTAGTGTACCGGCATGCCTCGGGAACAACTGTGCTCAGTTTCCGCTCTGTACCTAACCTGTATGGTTCTGTTCTGTGTTTTAAAAATGTTTAATATTATCAACTCACCCTCCGCATGTGAGGTTCGCTCAGTGATACGGTTTTTGTCAGCAAGGAACCTGCCTGCTGCAGAAATTCATCGACAGATTTGTGAAGTGTACGGTGATACCGTTATGAGTGAAAGCAAAGTGCGTAAGTGGGTACGACAATTCAAAGATGGCCGTGACAATGTCCATGATGAGGACCGCTCCGGTCACCCTTCTTTGATTACAGTGGACTCTTGGTTATCGGAGCAGGCGGCAAGTTTTTATGAAGAGGGTATTTTAAAATTGGTATATTTACAGTTCAGGCAGTTCCCATGTCACAAACAAAACCTATAGGTTCTGTAGGTTTGTTCTTAAGTTGAATTTGTATGTAAGTCGGAACAGGTACATTTTTAAAGTGTAATTCCAGCCAAATATATGTATATTTCAGCTCTGGATAACATAGGGAAGGCTTAACACCCCTGTAACATTTATTTTGCTGTCTGTGCCCCTGCTCAAAAGATGTAATCTCACTTCCTGTACCTGTGATACTTGGATTTTGAAAAAAAAATGGCTTATTGTGGAAATGAGGATGGTGAGAAAACTTCAGTGAAGACACCTTTTTCCCATAACTATTTCAGGAGTGAATTTCCCTTCCGAGGGGTAGATTTCTCTCACTTTCTGTTGTTTCACCCCCGTTCTTAGCCAGGAGTCATATGTATGTTGGATGGTTGTAACTCGGGGACTGTGTGTATTTATTTATTTATTTATATCCTGCTCTTCTCACCCCAAAAGGGACTCAGAGTGGCTTTACAAAAGGCAACAGTTTGATGCCATATCAACAACAAATATAAAGTAAACATAAATTTAAGAGTCATACAAAAATTAAACCCCCAGAGACTAGGACACAATGGACCAATGGATCCAAACTGCATAGAAAAATATTCCACCTAAACATCAGAAAGAATCCCCCAACAGCAAGAGCTGTCCAACAGTGGAACAAGTTGCCCTACAATCCAGTAGAATCCCCCTCCTTCTCTGGAGGCTTTCAAGCAGAGGCTAGATGGCCACCAGCCAGGAGGGTCTGGACAATGTCCTCCTGCCTGGTGGGGGAAGGGGTAGGACTCGATGGTCTTTTGGAGTCTCCTCCAACTCTATATTCTTATAAAAACTATGTCCTGGAGCTCCAGGCACCTCCTCACAAGTATTTCTCTCTCACACACAGACACACACATATATTATATTCCTTCCTGGTGCTTCAAAGTAGCATAGTCCAACTCCCTTACTGTTTATCTTCATAATCATCATGTGAAGAAGGTTAGGATGAAAACTAATGATTAGCCAAAGGTTACCAAATGGCAGAATGGAGATTTACACCTGGGTTAGGTTGCACTTTTGACTACTAACAAGAAATCTAAAACAGTTTCCTAATAATTTTATATCACTAATCATTCACACTAGTATTATTAATAGTTATTATAATGATTTCTAAATTGTTCCTATTTTGGAAATCATTTTTCCTTGAATTTATAAATAAAGAGAACTCCTGGTTTTGATTTTAATGCTGTCTTTGAACTAAACCAAACGTTGTTTCTGAATTGCAATTTATAATAGTAAAAAAGCTATATAGGTATAAAATATAGGTATAAATGAAATTTTCTCCCAGCAAAAACAACAAGAACAATTGCATGCATGACTTCAGAGCAATTCCCATTCTGTTGAACTGAGCTTGCATATTTGCAAGTATGGCTGCAAATATGCAATATTTGCAATATTTTTATCACCTTTTTAAGGGGCTGTGGTGGTGCAGTGGATTAAACCACTAAGCTACTGAACTTGCTGACTGGATGGTTGGCAGTTTAACTCTGCAGGACAGGGTGAGCTCCTGTTGTTAGCCTCAGCTTCTCCCAACCTAACTGTTCGAAAACATGCAAATTTGCGAGTAGATCAATAGGTACTGTTCTGGCGAGAAGGTAACGGCCACATGACCTTGAAGGCGTCTACAGACAACACCAGCTCTTTGGCTTAGAAATGGTGATGAGCACGCCTCCCCCCCCCCCAGGTGGGAAAGCTCAATTCCACAATCCTCATTTTAATGAGCCCCCTCTGGAAATAACCTGCTTCTCCTTTTATCTCACCCGTGTTTTTAATCAGTTTTAAACCATTTTCTTGCACATGTAGCTGCCCATTGTCACTGTGACTGTGTTTATTGTAATCTTATATCGTCAAAAGCTTTCATGGCCGGAATCACTGGGTTGTTGTAGGTTTTTTTCAGGCTATATGGCCATGTTCTAGAGGCATTCTCTCCTGACGTTTCTCCTGCATCTATGGCAAGCATCCTCAGAGATAGTGAGGTCTGTTGGAACTAAGAGGATGCTTGCCATAGATGCAGGCGAAACGTCAGGAGAGAATGCCTCTAGACCATGGCCATATAGCCCGAAAAAACCTACAACAACCCAGTAATCTTATATCGTTAATGTATTCATATGTTTTATGTAATTATGATGTTGTTGTTTATTGCATGTGTTTTTGATTTTATTTTGTTGTAATCTGTTGACTGGGCTTGGCCTCATGTAAGGTGCCCCGAGTTCCCATTGGGGAGATGGTGGAGGGGTATAAATAAAGTTTAATATTATTATTACAAACATGACTAGACTTAATGTCAAGGGGAAACCTTTACTTTGCCTTTTATCACCTTTTTAATTCTCCTGTTGTAACCTGTGAATTTTTAACCATGTGTTTTTTACATTTGTAAGCCACTCTCAATCCCAAACTAGAAAAAAGGTGGGACAAAGAACTTCTCTGCAAACATGAACATAAACATATGGGTTTTTCAAACTGTTTTAAGATGACAACAAATAATACATTTCCACCAATCCTATCCCTTCTCTAATACATAAATGCATAACCACTTCCATGTCCAATCACCATTTTCGTCATAAGCAAGAACTCTATTTTACCTTTAAAGGCTTCTGTTGCACCTGGTGCATGATTCTTGTCAGGGTGAAATTTCAGTGCTAATTTCCGGTATGCTTTCTTTAGGTCCTCGTCGGAGGCGTCTCTACTCACACCCAAAATTTCATAGTAGTCTTTACACTGTTTCACCCTAGAAGTTAAAACGATAAGCACACACAGCCATTAGATATATGCAGATAAGGCTGCACAGCTTCATGTCTCATTTCACCCCAAATAAAATTTAGGGTGAGTGATGCTGACTTAAGGAATAAAATGGATTAATTATTACAGTGTCACAAACCCAAGGCACCAAGTCAATTTTTCTTGCCTGTCAGTGGTACAGTCACACTTAATAATGAAATACTATATTCAGCAAGCAATGATTTCTTTCTCTGAGTCTTCAAGCATTACTATCTCACTGAAACTACACAGGAAGAAAACATAGAGCTGTATGCATGCAGTGAGCTCATTTATGCCAAAGGTTTGGAAGGAGTTTATGAATCTTTTTGAACTTGGGTCCCCTTTCAGAGTTCTCTCTCTTTTCAAGACCCCAGCTCACTGACAGCCATTCTTTTAGTGGGCAGGCACACAGTAAACTCATCCAGAGTGGCATACATACATATGCACAAGGATTTACAGACTGAAAGGTCTCTTTATCATCAATATTCAAAGGACCCAGCCCAAGGCATTCTTAATATCCCTGTAAAATCAGAGAAGAAACTGCTGCAGTTAGAAACTGCCCCTATGCTATTAAGAAGAAAGTATCTTCCTCTCTCTCCCTGTCAAAGGATATTTTATCGTTTTAATTCTTCATGAGAAAAAGTTGCTGAAAACTGTGCAGTTTTTAAGAACGATTAACAGTCTGTGAATAAGTACATTTTAAGGACAGCAGAAAAAGAATTCCCCATAAAATTTCCCATAAATTTTCAGCACATTTGCAGTGCCTTGAAGATCAACATCAACTCAGTGAAAATAGTGCCCCCAAGTGGCATAGGACTTTTAGGCAATGTTTTGATGACATTTCACTATAAACCCAACTTACTGCAAAGAGCTCTCCATATTCATGGATTCAGCACGTACTGCTTAAAATAGTGGGAAAAGAATCTTAATAGCAAATTTTGATTTCCCATTTAATATAAACTGCACTGAAACTTCAGCATCCAGGTTTGGTATCCAATGGGGGGGGGGGGGGCAGGAACTAAACCATAACTGATACCACTATATATGCTGAATTATCTCTAGAATTGAATTTTTAAAAAGAGAATAAAGACTATCGTTCCATAAGAAATAATCAATTTTTAAACTATTTATTATTCAGAAAAAGAAGACATAGTAAAAGAGCAATAATACAAAAGTAGATTTTTTTTACAATGCATAATGCTAAAACTATACAGCTGTCTAACAAGTTATTACAACATATTAAGAGCTAAACTAAAACAAAAATACAAACAAGGGGTAAAACTCAATAGTGAGTGTGATGTTTGCAGTATTGTTGTTGTATTTATTTGTTTGTTGATTAGTATAATTTGTGTTGATTATTGTAGGCCTGTGTATTGTTGAAGTTGTCATCAATTCTAATCCAAATAAACAGCATTATACAACAACAACAACTTGATTCTTGTATCCCACCACCATCTCCCTGGAGGGACTCAGGGCAGCTTATACACTGCCCTGTATATATTTCGTTATAATGCACTGTCTAAAACATTGGTAACTGAAAACTACACAAACTGGCAAACAATCATGTCTGACAATTTTAATGATTGTAAGTTACAGTTATATATTATTGTTTTTGATATGCAATTTATTGTTTTTATTAGTATGTGAGGCATTGAATTTTTGCCAATTATTATGCTGTACACCGCTTTGAGTCTCCCTAGGGGTGAGAAAAGCAGTATAGAAATGCAGTAAATAAGTAAATAAATACACAGCACAAGGTGCCGAAAAACAGAACATAAAATAAAAACAATTTTAGAATACAATTAAATAAAACATATAAGCATATAAAGGATTACAGGTTGAATATCCCTGGTCCAGAATTCTGAAATCCCAAATACTCCAAAATAAAAAATGGCCAAATATGGTGACTGAGATTGCAACACATTATCTCATGCACAAAAATATTATGCATAAAATTACTTTCAGGCTATGCGTATAAAGTGTATATAAAAATATAAATGTGTCCCCATCTCGAAAATATCTTATAATTAATATGCAAATATTCCAAAATCTTAAAAAATCCAAATTATGGAACACTTCTGGTCCCTAACATTAGACAGAAAGTCCAATTTTTAGCATATTCTGAGATGGCTCCACCCACTTCCCTCTCCAAAATAAGGCCCCATGATTTAAAGGAAACATTTTCCCCTGAAAGTTGTAAAAACAGCCTTGGGACACTGCACATTTCCCATCCCTGAATTATAGTATTGCAGTCTATGTGTACAGGTATATAAGGCAATTCCAGTCCTGAAGCAAAAGAGCCTGACTCTGATACGCCTGAATGAAAGACCTTACAGTAATCGTATCAACTGCTGTGAGGAGTCTACAGAAAGAGAAGAGTGCAAGAATAATACCTGTGTCCAATGTCCAACAAAAATGTATAAAGATGTCTCTTTGTATCCATTGCTTCTGGACCCACAAATTCTGTCCTCAACCACTTGAAAATATATATATTTAAAAACCTCCCAAAAGCAAACCTTGATTTTACTGTTTTATTTAAGAGACACTATTTTACTATACCACTGTATATAATGGGAGATAAGCATCCATGAATTTTGGCATCCACAGGGGGTTCTGGAACCAAACCTCAGCAAACATCAAAGGCGTCATTCTTAATCTCAATAATACAGTGGTTCCCAACCTTTTCTTGACCAGGGACCACTTTGACCAGGGATCACTCTCCAACATTAGTACCAAAAGGGTTTTGGTCAACTTTAGATTTGGTTTGGTTATTTGGGGTGCTGATTCAGAAAACTGCATTGGATAGACCACATCAGTTCTAATTTCTGATACAGAACATATGCCATCTAATAGTCACCATCTGTTCGCCCACAGAAAACCATATTTAATAATCTAGAGCTGATGTGGTAGTACGAATCTTTTGTGGGTTAGGCAGCCTCTCCCCTCCCAACATCCCCATTGCCACGGCACTATAAGAGGGTTTCGCGAGACCAGTTGTTCTCATTGCCGCCTGGTTTTAAGGCAATGGTGTAGTAATGGTGAGGCCGCAGACCATATTTCTAGATAGTGGTTTTATCATGCAAAGTTTTTTTACTTTTATGGGGGTCCTATGACCCTAGCTTTAGCAAATGTGGAAGGCAGACCATATTCAATACAAAGGAGATTAAATTCTGTGTGGATTTTGCCCCTTCGGAGGACATAAAATAATATGAGGGTAAATGTATTTTGTATGTGAGTATGCATGCTTTATTTATGTACAACCAACCCCAAGGGTTCTTTTGAACAATTTAGATAAACATTAAGAACAGACAGATAACTCTACATCGTGAATGCCATGTAGGATCTCAGCAATAGTAATTGGCTATTAGGTTTTTCATTCTTTTGATGATGCACCCAAAGATGTGATTTGCAAAGTGAACATATAAACTGTACCACAGACATTGGTCCACAACTTCACCATTATGAGGTCCATCTGGAGTTGGAAACCAGATCTGAAGGTTTTGTGTAATTACAATCAATCATGCTGCCTGGGAATAATGGGAGTCAGAGTCCCACAACATATGGAGAGCCACACCACTGCTACTGATCAACAGAGGATAGCAGCTGCATCCTAATGTTTTCCTCCGACCTCCAAATGTAACTGGAAAAAAATATTCTGAAAGACAGTAAGAATGCAATTCTAAATTATCCACTTACCGTTTCACTGCATCTACCTGATCCTGACTGTAGCCTTTACTGATGTCCCCACCTGCCTCTCCGTTGGCTGAAGGGAAGTCGCCACTCATTTTCCTACGGGTTGGGTTTGTGGGTTCCTTGGGCTGAGAATGGCCATTTGACGACTGTTCACTCTTGGTGAGAGATTCAAGCAGCACTACAAGTAGAAAACACAGTTTGGGTTCAAAACCTTCATTTCTTGCATAGATACAGCCATATGTTATTTTACTCCCTGCCTACTCCCACTATGACCACCCAGTCCTTCACTGGCCCTCTTCCCCAGCATTTCAGTACATCCATCCAGGGAAACAGAGCTGGTTGAATCAATGACTGCTGCATCCAGAGAGAAAGAGGATCATTTGATATAAATAATTTGTTGCCTGGCAATTTCATGCCAACAAACAAATCATCCCAAACATTTTGGCTTTTTTCTGTAGGTCTACTTCCATTATGAGAATAAGATGCAAAATTACCGTGTTTTCTGGCATAGAAGGCGACTGGGGGTATTAGACGACCCCCCAACTTTTAAAGGTAAAATACAGAGTTAGGGATATACTCGGCGTTTAAGACTACCCCTCCTCCGCCCTCGCCGCTTACCTCCTGGGAAGGCCACTGGGTTTGCCTAGGCCCAAGGAAGCATCTCTGGATGCTGACTGAGCAGCGCTGGGCAGCAGCATGCCTTGGATGTGCTCCCAGAGGCATTCTGGGAGCCGACAGAGTCAGGGAAGTACTGCACTTTGAATTGGGCCCGGAAAATAAATGGCAGCCAGTGGAGCTCCTTAAATAGGAGGGTTGACCGCTCTCTGTAATTCGCACCAGTTAATAATCTGGCTGCCACTCTTTGGACCAAATGGAATTGCCGGGCTGTCTTCAAGGGCAGTCCCACGTAGAGCACATTGCAATAGTCCAATCTAGAGGTAACCACAGGCGTGGACCACAGTGGCCAAATCTAACTTCATGAGGTACAGTCGGAGCTGGCACACGAGCTTCAATTGTGCAAAGGCCCTCCCAGCCACCGCCGACACCTGAGCTTCAAGCGTCAATGCTGAGTCTAGGAGGACACCCAAGCTGTGGACCTGTGATTACAAGGGGAGTGCAACCCCGTCAAGTACAAGTTGCCACCCTATACCTCAATCCGATCTACGATTGACCAGGAGGACCTCTGTCTTGTCAGGATTGATCCCCAGCTTATTCGTCCTTATTTCAAAGGAAATTTAGTACAATGCCAAACCTTTAACTTTGTTTGTGGTTTTTGTATGCACTATAACCGTATTCTCAATTCACTTCTGACACGATAAATAAATAAGCCAGAAGTAATCCATACTTCAGCCGAGATTTGAACCCTGTTCTCCAGTTTACTATACTATACTGACTCTTATTAGAATGCCTGGACAGCCATAACTAGGACACTCTGTGGAACTAGTTTCTAAAAGCAGGTATATCTCCTTATGTAACAAATGATAGCAAACCACAAACTAAAGTGTCATAAGTAAAAGAAAAGTAAGTATGGCTATTATCAGTTGGAAGCAGAAAAGCACAAAAGACAGGGCACCATAAAAAAGGTGGGGGACAATTAGCTGCAACTACTGCTAGTCCTAACCTACATAGCCAATGTGAGTAGTTCAGTAACATCTAGATAGCCATACAGTCCTCGTCACTAAAAGAGTAACACAACTTCTGTGATCTCAGTATGCTAACATTAAAAAAAAATCTATTTTGCATCCATTACATATCCTCACAAAGCATCAATGCTAGTTTTAGCATATATCATTTCATATCAAATACAGTGGATTGATGCAACCAAACACATATTTCCTAGAGTTAATTCTGCATGTTTTGTTGAGCAGAATGCCAGTTTGCCCCATTATTGCCACTGAAATGGAGCAAAGTCTGTTCTTAATTAACCTGGAATTATCACTGCCTTGATCTAAACATAGAGCAGATGGAAGTTTATTTTAAAGGAAGTTACCGTATATACTCAAGTATAAGCTGACCCGAATATAAACCGAGGCACCTAATTTTACCACAAAAAAATGGGAAAATGTATTGACTCAAGTATAAGCCAAGGGTTGGAAATGCAGCGGCTACTGGTAAATTTCAAAATAAAAATAGTTACCAATAAAATTACATTAATTGAGGAAACAGTAGGTTAAATGTTTTAATTGTAATTTAAAGTAAGAGTGACCAACTTTGGTTAAAAAATTATTCTAACCTTTTTCAGTGTAAATTATCCTTCCAATTATAAGAAAGAAAGTCAAATAATAAATGTAATAGCAATAATAAAGTAAAATAATAAATGTAATAATAATAAATAGAGTAAAATAAATGTAATAAAATAATAATAGAGTAAAATAATGAAAATGTAATAATACCAATAAYAGAGTAAAGTAATGTAATAAAACTAATAGTAATAACAGAGAATAAATAACTTTGACTCGAGTATAAGCCGAGGGCAGCTTTTTCAGCCTAAAAAAGGGGCTGAAAAACTAGGCTTATACTTGAGTATATACAGTAAATATCACAAAGTTTAATTAGATATTCTCTGACTTTTTCTAGATCCAATCCAATTTGGTCTATAAATGATGGATTTTGGCAGGACTATTTAAAAATCATTCTCCTCCATCTCCCCACTATTTCTTCTAATGGACTGACCACACATAGATCTTTATATAGAGAGCAAGGGTTGTAATATGAGGCCTTCCAGATTTGCTGGATTGCTGTTCCTATCACTCCACTGCCATATAAACAAATACTGAAAAATACCGAGACCTCTAGCCCAGCAAGATCTGGAGGGCTACACTTCCCACCCCATTTCAGAGTGATACTCTATCTTACTTAAAAATACCAATAGCAGCAGATTAATTCCGCCTCAGTAAGCAACACTAATTTTACACACAGAATCATTAACCTGCATTAAATTATCAGCTGAATGCCTTGAAGCAATGGGTGGGGGAGATCATTTTAACCATCCTGGATGCTGTGCTAATGAATAATGTAAGCAATTATTTTAAGAGTGTTCTTCAGTACATATTATTTTTCAAAGATTTGCACTGCAAGGCTTGAACAAGGCTTTCCAACCTCTACTAAAGTTGTCCCCAAAACAAATACATTTGCGATGAGAATGAACAGCAATATACATATAATCACCTAAAAGACCATAGAAAAGATGCTTTAGGGACAAATGGGTCAGAGACCATTAAAAAAGCCTCACTGATAAATGATTACCATCTTGATTTAAGTAAAGAAAATTTTTAAACTAATAATGGAAATTAATATGTTGTTTAACATACTGTTAAGGAAGCATTTTCCTAACCCCTTTGCTAAAATATTCCAACACAACAAGAAGTAATGAAACAAGAAAAAACACCATATAAGTTGTCTAATGTGGTGCTGGAGGAAAGTTCTGAGTGTGCCTTGGACTGCGAGAAGATCCATACTTCAGGAAATAAAGCCCAACTGCTCACTGGAGGGAAGGATAGTAGAGACAAAGATGAAGTCCTTTGGCCACATCATGAGAAGAAAGGAAAGCTTGGAGAAGACAATGATGCTGGGAAAAATGGAAAGAAAAAGGAAGAGGGGGCGACCAAGGGCAAGATGGGTGGATGGTATCCTTGAAGTGACTGGATTGACCTTGAAGGAGCTGGGGGAGGTGATGGCCGACTTGGAGCTCTGGTGTGGGTGAATCCATGAAGTCACGAAGAGTTGGAAACGACTAAACGGATGAACAACAAGATTGTCTAAGAAAAACAAAGGAGCAGGGAGAGGAAGTGAAGATAATCCCCAGTTCTAAATATTGGGCTAATTCTTCCAAAAACTGTAGTACATCCCAAAGTTAGAATTCATCATTTACAAATTGGTAATTCTAAGGATGTAATATCCTGTAGGAGATCACTATACACTCTAAAAGGAATTATTTCACATCTGGGGAGAAAAAAATGATTTCGTTTTAGTATGTATTACACAAGAAACAGGAGATATTCATCTAGAGGTATTTCCTGTTAGGTTCCCTTCTGCCCTACTAAAGATCTCAACACTGAGATTTGTTCATCCAGAGCAAGATGTGTTATTGCATCGTTGACCTATAAATACACAAAGCACACTTGATTAACATCTTCATTAAGACTTAATGAAAACCTTAAGTCTGGTTTCCATTATCTCCTATTTAGTCATTTTCAACTTAGGAAAAATATGCTACAAACCTTTTAAAAAAAAACAAGATGTGACTTCATGCAGAAAAAAGGAAACAAACAGAATCTCAAACAGTACAGTATTAGAATTTTTGACTGCTTCTAGCTTCCAAATCACTTTTAATAGTGATTTCAAAAGGGATGGTGCCCTATATCAGAAAAGGGTCTCCTCAGAACATTACATCCTTAGAAAGAAAGCAGTCACTGATCAGGCTGGAGGAACGTCATATGGACCACCTCATATTTTGTCCCATATACGTTGTAATACGTGTACACAAGCACCTGTTGGCCTTATCTTCACAGTTTGCATGCTGGCTTATCACATTTGTAGATTACACCAAAGTAGGAGGGATAGCTAATTCCGGAGAGGAAGGAATCAGAACTCAAAATCACTTTAAGTTGGGCCAAAACTAACAACATGAATTTCAAAAGGGAGAGATGCAAAGTGGCAATGAAAATGAATTGAACAGATATAGGATGGGTGATGCCTGGCTCAAAAACAATACGTGTGAACTAGGAGTCTTAGGCCCATTCTACAATGCCATATAAATTTCAGATTATCTGATTTGATAATCTGGATTATATGGTAGTGTAGAAGGGACCTTTGTTGTTGTTGTTCATTCGTTCAGTTGTTTCCGACTCTTCGTGACCTCATGGACCAGCCCATGCCAGAGCTCCCTGTCGGCCATCACCACCCCCAGCTCCTTCAAGGTCAATCCAATTACTTCAATGATGCCATCCATCCATCTTGCCCTTGGTCACCCCTCTTCCCCTTTCCTTCCATTTTCCCCAACATCATTGCCTTCTCTAAGCTTTCCTTTCTTCTCATGATGTGCCAAAGTACTTCATCTTTGCCTCTACTATTCTTCCCTCCAATAAGCAATCGGGCTTTATTTCCTGAAGTTCATTTAGGCGATCCTTCGTAGTCTGAGGATGATGGTCCTCCAAGTTTAGTGTCCTGGCGGTGGGT